GGAGGGAGGGAGGCAGAGGAGGGAAGGAGGGAAGGAGGGAGTGCGAGGACAGGGGGGGGGAAGAGCAACAGTCAGGCGATCGCAAACATGGACCAGGTTGGCGTGGATTAACGACGGGTCCCGTTTCCAGGGGAAATCGCCGATTTCCGCCGCCGAGCGAGGTGGCACCGGCCGCATTTTTGGGAGGGCACCTCCCCCGATCCATGGATTTGGCGACCGCGCGCCAAATCCACGGATCGCTAATCCATGTTTGCGCGCCCCCGAGGAAGGGGGGAGGGAGAGCAACAGAGCACAACAACGGAGGGGGCGAGGAGGACGAGCAGGAGCAGGTTGGCGCCGAGCGCGCGACGACGAAAAGGCGCCCCGGCTGCGCCCCACGCAGCTCACAGCCTCCGAACCCAGAGGTGCGATGTCGTGATTTTTTCAATACGGGGTCCCCGGAAGTCCCGTCCACCGCCAGAATGTAGCCATATCCACCGCTTCGGAGTCGTGCCCTGGGACCTCGAGGAGTGGTGGATATGGATATCTGCCCGCCCGGATGGGCGGCCAGATATCCACATCCATCGCTCCTCGATTCCTTGGGCTACGACCCCGCGGCAGTGGATATGGACATATTCTGGCGGCGCATCCCGACCCTTTCCCCGGGGCTGGTTTTTCATCCGGAGCCGTTTTCTGAGGGTCCCGGGGCCCGGCGGGGGCCCCGAGAGACCAAACACCGCGAAAAACACGCGGGAGCGCCCCGCGGGAGCGCGAGACTCCGGGGCCCGGGGCGAGGGAGGGAGACAGGGGAGAGAGGAGGCAGGAGGAGGAGGAGGAGGAGGAGGCAGGAGGAGGAGGAGGAGGAGGAGGCAGGAGGAGGAGGAGGAGGAGGAGGAGGAGGAGGGAGGAGGAGGAGGAGGAGGAGGAGGAGGAGGAGGAGGAGGAGGAGGTGGATTTTCTCAATGCGTTGGATCGCTGGGAATGCCGGCGGCTGCGTGCACGGCCAGGCCCAGAGTGCACGCGCGGCCGGCCGGCGGCCGCGCACGGATCCCTCCCGCGCCGACGGCGAGGGGCCCTCCGCGGCACGTTTAGGAGGGGAAAAAACATTCCAAATCTCATAATACAGGGGGGGGGGGGGTCAAAAAAGTGCTTGACGGCCGGTCTAGGACCCCCCCCAAGTAGACCCCCCCCAGTCAGGCAACAAAGGATCCCAAATCGAGAACCCCCCACAATTGTGTGTGACGAAGTCCGTTCGACCCCCCCCAAAAGCAGACCCCCCCCCCGTTGGTATGAGATCCGGAGCACTTTTTTTGGTCGGCGGGTCGACAGCGGGCCTCTTCCGGTGAAGAGCTAGGCGGGGCGCGCGAAGCACTAATTGGGGAGACAGGGCGCGGGCGGGCGGGGCCTCAGGCGGCGGGAGGGTGCGGAGTGCAGGCGGCGCCGAAGAGCTTGCACAGGAAAAGGTACGCCTTGGACTGGAGCCAGTGGCGAAGTCCCGGAGGGAGAGCGAAGTGGTGTTGCCGTCAACGGCGCGCCAGGATCACCATCCTCGAGTGCTGCGTGGGGAGGGCCGTGACCAGGTCAACGCCCGTGAGGCGAGGGGAAAAAACACACAGACACAACTAATCGTCGATTCCCGAGAGAATATTGGAAAATATGGGGAAGACAGACACCCAGAAAAGATGGGAAGTGGGGGGGAAGACAAAAATCATCCAGAAAACATGGGAAAAGATGGGGCATCTGTTTATTTGTGTGTATTTATTTGTGTGTCCCAGGGCCCCTTCACACGTGCACGCGCGCGCGGCCGGCCCCGCCCGCCTGCGCTCGGCGAGCGCGGCGAGCGCGCGGTCGCGCAGGGCGCGCCACGCTTGAGTCGGGCCTGTCCCTCGACAGGAGGAAGATCCAAAAATATTAGAAAAATAGTCAGGGAACGTTTCTTTGACTGTTTTTGACGTTTTTGGAGCATTCTTGGAGCATTTTTCATTTTTCGTCCAAAATCCCCCTGTAGGGGGACAGGCCCGACCTAACACCACGCGCACACGTGCTCCAGTTGCTTGAAAATGCACCAGGGAAAAGCCCCAATCCCAGAGATCCAACGTATGGAACAAATCAAGGCGTAGGTTTTTTCGCGGTTTTTGGCCTCGGGGGGCCCTCGCCGGACCCCGGGACCGTCCCCACAAAACGGCTCCGGATGAAAAACCGGCCCCGGGGAAAGGGTCGGGACTTCCTGGGACCCCGCGCTGAAAAAATCACGACATCGGATCTCTGGGATCAGTGGATGGTTTGAAATGGGATCGATCAAGAGATCGACAAGGAGGTCGACCAGGAACCCGGGAACGCGGAACCCACCGGCATCGGCCCGGAACCAATAACCAGGAACCCGGGAACCCAGAACCGGGAGCCCGGAACCGGGAACCCGGGAACCCAGCCAGTTACCAAAATCGGCGGGAAACTTTCGCCAAATCTTCCAACTTCTACTAGGACCCATTCAGTGCAAGCGCTGAATGGGGAAATACAGTCGAGCATTTAATTAAGGAACCTTCTCTCGAAAAGCTGGGCCCGCGTCTCTTCGTCAGCTTGCCGGAAAATTGGCTCAGTTTCTTGAGCGCGTTCGCCCCTCCAGCGTTGACACAACACCTTGGCCAGGCTTGTCTCAAGAAATGTCTGGGAAGCTGGCCCAGGTTTCTTGAGTGATGATTTTCTTGATCATATTTTCGGTGCAGGGGAACAGGGCTGGACCTAAACGCTGCTTTGCTGGACTTCGGCTGTGTTTCGTTTTTCGTTTTGGGAGGGAGGTACAGGAAAACAGGTCGGGTCAAACGAGAAACAAAACGAACACAAAGCGAACAACAACGTTTAGGTCCAGTCCTGTATGGGGAACGAAGAATGGCATAAACATAACAACTCGGAGGTCCGGATCCGCGCTGGACCCCTCGGCGGCGCCTCTGGCGCCGCCCCTGGCGCGGGGGTCCAGCGCCGATCCGAGGAATCCACGCGGACCTCCGAGTTTTTATTTTTATGTCATTCTTCGTTACCCTATTAAAGTAGGTGCCTATCGACGGTTGAATCTGTTCGGACCTCCAAACTCCCATTTGCTCATGGCGCCTTCCTGCTTAAGGGGTCGAGCGGCTTCCCCTCCTCAGTCCTCCTCGAGGGGGCGGCTAAAAAAACCGAATCTGCTTTCAACGCCTTCCTGCTTCATATTTCCACCCGCACGTGTACCTGCGCCTCTTCGACAAGGGGATCGACTACTGAATAGATTCCGAGATTGATTTCTCTGTCGAATCTACGAAACATACGTAGATTCGTCTTTCGATCTACGGAGCATTTTAAGAATTTGTGCATTCGACGGGATATCAAGTTTGGGGTGAATCAATTCTGTAGTCGAGCCCCTACTCGACCTCTGCTGGCTCACTGGAGTGGCCGCGTCTGGGAGCACGTGCACGCAGGCGAGCCCCCGGGATGGGCGCAGATCGTGGCCAGTGGGCTCGTGCGCGTGGCATTCAGTGTACCCTCTCCTCCTCTTCCTCTTCCTTCTCCTCCTCGTCCTCCTCCTACGTTAGAATACCAATATGAATCATGTAGTTGTTGCGGTCGTTAGGAAACATGTGCAGGTCTAACTCGACTTGACGTAGAGGCACAGGCAGGCTTCCTCCTCCTCCTCCTCCTCCTCCTCCTCCTCCTCATCCGCGCTCTGGTTTCCCCTGTGCGCGGCCCCAGGGGTCCCGACCCCTTCCCCGGAGCCAGTTTCTCGCCCAGGGCCCGTGTTTGATGGCCCAGGGCCCGATCACGGGCCTCGGAGGCCGAAATCGAGGAGGAACGCCTCAGATGGAACAGATCATACAGCCCAGAGCTCCCGGATCATACAGCCCAGATCGTACAGCCCAGATCATACAGGAGGAACGCCCAGATCATACAGTCCAAGAGCTCCCAGATCATACGGGAGGAACGCCCAGATCATACAGCCCAGAGGAACGCCCAGATGGAACAGATGGTTAGCGTGTCGCGTCGCCGGTTCTGGCCCACCACGCGTCGGCGCGACGCGCTAAGCACGCCTCGGTCCCCGAGCGTTCACGTTGCGAGCTTTCCCCAGCCTCCCGCGGAGCGGACAACGACACGCAATCAGCTTGCAGGGGACAGCTTGTCTCCAGGGCCGCCGCCGCGGCACGCTAAGCAACAGTTTCCGACCGTACGGTTGAATCAAACAACTTCTCAACGACAGCGCCCGATCTAGAACCAAATTCCCCCTCCCCTGGCCTTAACATTGGCAAGTATTGCGTTCTAGATGGTGGGCTCAACCATTTTCTGGCCCCGCTTCTGCGGAAGCGCTTGCCTTGCTTGATGTTGAGGCCGGGGGGCGGAAAGGGGGGCCATGCGAGGTGGCTCCTGAACGTTTGTTGCACAGTTGTTTCCTCCGACGGCAGTCCCAGACATGCTCGCTTCGTGACAAAAATCACGGCGGGAGGCTTTCTGGGCAGCTTTCGGCTGTGGGGGGCCCTCGCCGGGCTCTGGGGCTGTCAAGAGACGACCCGCGGTGAAATACCAGCCTCGCGGAACGGGTGGCGATTCCAGGGGCACCGTATCAAAACAATCAGGGTTTCTCAGAGCTCTTCTCAAGTGGCTCTCGAACCTCTGTTACAAAGTGTTCTCCTTCAGCTCTAGGCCTCTCAGATGGGATCCGAGCTCATGAGGTTGGAGGATCGCGCCGCACGCATCGGCGACGCGGCTCGACGTGGAGCCCGATTTGCTCCACGCAGACGGCGCCGATGCATCCCCGACGTCCCCGACGCATCGCCGGTGCATCGTCGATGCAGTGGCGATGCGGTGCGAGCCTCCGACCCCATCTACTTTGGCCCCCCCCCTTTGGGAGGCCCCATACAGTGGAGGTCCGTGCCAAGAAGCACCCTGCTTGCCTCCAGGGTGCCCTGGGTCTCTTGGGTTCCGATGGTTTCGCTGTGGAGAGCGTGACTCTCCTGGACGTCCTCGGGTCTCAGGGTTGGGCTTCTTGTGGAATGGAAGGTTTCTTGCGGACTGGCCTCCCCTGTATCAGCGCATCGGCGGTACAGGCGGCCCGAATTAGTAGGTCGACCCTGCCAGATCGAGCCGAATTTGTAGGTCGACCCTACCAGATCGAGGGCACCCTTGTGTCCTGTGTCTCGCGACCCATGCTTCGTACATTCCTGTGGCGATGTGGCCCTCGAAAGGGTCTCGCGTCCTCTCGCGTGCCCTCTCCAGTCGAGCCCGACTCTGTCCTCGGCGATCTGCCACACGCCTCTGCGCGCCTGGCCGGGGCGACGCGCCCGGGCGCGGGCCCGCCGCTCTCGCGGCCGGCGCCCGCAGGCCACGGCCGCGGCGGCGGCCGTGCCCCCGGCGACGTGACCCCGACGGCCTGGGCGCGGCGGGACCGCCTCGGCGCCTCGCGGGCTGCCCTGCCCTTCGGCCGCGCCCGCGGGCGCGCAGCGCGCGCGGCGCTGCTGCGTACTTGGTCGCAGCAAATGGCGCGCCGCCGCCGCCGCCGCCGCCGCGGCCGCCGCCGCCGCCACCGCCGCCGTCGTCGTCGTCGTCGTCGTCGTCGTCGTCGTCGTCGTCCTCGTCGTCGTCCTCGTCGTCGTCGTCGTCGTCGTCGTCGCCGTCGTCGTCGTCGTCGTCGACTTCGCCGCAGGCCAGGCGCGTGTGCCCTTCGCGGCAGGAAAGGGGGGGGAGGGTGCGGGTAGGAAGGGGCATAGGGGGCCACATGCGAACCCTACCCTTACCCCCCACGTTTTCTGAGGGGGAGGGTGGGGTTCACTTCGTTCGGGAGCTCCCGAGCGAAGTGAACCCCACCCTCCCCCTCAGAACTCGTGGTGGGTAGGGGTAGGGTTCGCATGTGGCCCCCTAGGGGCAGATCCAAGGAACTCTGCTGTTCTTTTGTTTCAGTCTCGGCCCTCTTCCTTTCCTCGGCCTGCCTGCCCAGAGCTGTTTTCGGGCCATGCGTTCATCAGCAAGCGACCCGGTCTGAAACGAGTTCCCCTGCCCACGGATTCAACAATCAATCCGCCGGAAGTTTGGGGACGCATCCGGCATTTTGCCAGAGTTTGGGTGGGTGGGGGGTTGCCTTCTCCACCTCCTCCTCCTCCTCACACTTCCCTTCTCCAACTTCCTCCTCTCCCGCCTCCTGCCACTCCTCCTGCTTTTCCCGAACCTCCTCCTCTTACCTCTTGCAAGCGACCCGGTCTGAAACGAGTTCCCCTGCCCACGGATTCAACAATCAATCCGCCGGAAGTTTGGGGACGCATCCGGCATTTTGCCAGAGTTTGGGTGGGTGGGGGGTTGCCTTCTCCACCTCCTCCTCCTCCTCACACTTCCCTTCTCCAACTTCCTCCTCTCCCGCCTCCTGCCACTCCTCCTGCTTTTCCCGAACCTCCTCCTCTTACCTCTTGTGCATCTGCCCCTCTTGCCGCAGTCCCCCAATGAGGCTGCGAGGTCGAGCCTCGCCACGCCCCGCCCCGCCGGCCTCGGGCTGGGCGCGCGGGCCAGCGCGCGGTCCTCGCGGGTCTTCGCCAGGGAGGCCGATGGCCACGCACCGAAGGGCACCGGCGTGGTGCGCGGGGCCTCTTGGAAGGTGAGGTCAGGCGCGCGCGGCCCCGCGGGCAGGCTGCATTATGGCGCCCGCGCCATGCACTGGCTTCCCGAGTCGCAGTTGGTGGAGGGTAGCGGAATGTTAGGATGATGATGATGCTGATGATGATGATGATGATGATGATGATGATGATGATGATGATGATTATGATGATGATGATGATGATGATGATGATGATGATGATGATGATGATGATGATGATGATGATGTTGATGATGAATGATGATGCTAATGATGATGTTGATGATGATGGTGATGATGATGATGATGCTGATGATGCTGCTGCTGCTGATGATGATGAGGAGGAGGAGGAGGAGGAGGAGGAAGAGGAGGAGGAGGAGGAGGGGGAGGAAGAGGAGGAGGAGGAGGATGAGGAGGAGCAATACAGGTAGCGATGCCTCTGCTATGCGGAGCCCGCTGGGGGATCGCTCACCCGTACCTCTCCCTCTGCGGCGGCCAAAACGGGAGAGCAGGTTCTGACGGGCCTCCCCTGAAAGGCCCCCCGCCTCTCGTCAGGTGTGTGGGGGTGTGGGGCATGGGGAGTCGAAAAGATTTTCAGATGGCGGCCTCCTCGCCTCCTCGCCAGGTCTCCTCTGCGACGAACAGAAAGAAAAACGGCGTCTGAGGGGCCTCCCTCCAAGAGGGTCCTCCCCGCCTCTCAGAGGGCACGGGGGGCGGGTGAACACGGCTCTCAGGTGCCGACCCGCCCCAAGAATTCCCCACGAGTGCCCCGCCCCAGCCATGGCGCCGGCCGCCAGCCACGGCGCGTTTGGCAGCCACGCCACCCTTCGCACCGCCCCCGGCGCCGAGTAGCTCGCCGAGCGGGAAGGGTCGTGGCGCGGTGCCTGCCGTGGCCTCGCCGCCTCGCCGCGCCCGCCCCCCGCGCGCTAGCGGCCTCGCCGTGTCCTCTCTCTGCAGCCGTGCCGCCGCCGCCTCTCCGCAGCCGCCTCGCCGCCGCCGCCGACGCCTAGCCGCAGCCCCTCCGCGGCCGCCTCGCGGGCGCCGCCGCAGCTGCCTAGCCGCAGCCGGCCTGGCTGGCGCCGCGCCTTTGGTGGGCCGCGGATGCTGTTGGGCCGGCTGGGGCCGCCGGCGCGCGGCGGCTGCGGGCCGAGTGCCTACTTGGGGGGCAAGCCGGGCGCCGCCGGGCTGGCGACCTGCAGATGGCACCTTTTCGCCACCACCGTGCCCAGCCAGGGCCATTCTGGGCCCCAGGATGGCGTGTGCAACCTCCCTAGCCTCGGCTAGGAGGGCGCATGCACCATGCCAGGGCCCGGGCCCGGTCCTGGCCAGGCGTTGTGGCGGTGTGTAGGTTCCTCCTGCGTAGGCGAGGCTGCCCTGGGGCCATGATGAGCTGACCATGCAGGCGGAGCTCAACGCGCGCGCTGAGGAGGGGGACGTGGCCGAGGCGCGCCGCGTCTTCGCCGCGCTCAGGGACAGGCTGCCCGACCGCAGGGCGCCGCGCCTCTCGTGGAACACCCTGCTGAAGGCCCACGCTAACGCCGGGGACACGGCCGGCGCAGGGACCGTGTGGGCGAGCATGGCGAGCGAGACCGTGGAGCCGAACCGCAGGACGTTCGGCAAGCTGATCGAGTCGGCGGGGAAGGCCCGACGCGGCGGGCTCTTTGTGGGGGCCCCGCGGCGTCGGAGAGGGCGGGCCCGGGAGGGGGAGGGGCAGGAACTCGACTGCGCGCGCGGGGCGGGGGGGGGGCGATAAGGGGGGCAGGCCTCCTTAGAAGGCGTCGCAGTAGTCCTGCGATTCTCGTGGAGCCCTGCGGTTCCGGAGAATTGTTTAGAAGGTCAGAGGCCTCCTCCATTGTGCCCGCGAGACAGTTTCTTTGCCCCCTGGCGGAAACAGGTGTTACCAGGGGGGTGAAAGGGGGGAGGGGGAGTGCGTTCACGTCACGATTCGCGCCGGCGCCGTCTGGGCATGACTACGAATGGCTGGCTGGCAGACGCCGCCAGCGCGAATCGTGACGTGACTGCGAGGGGGGGCGGCGGGGCCAGTCACGGGCGTTCTCGCGAACAAGTGGCACGCGTGCCATGGCTCTTGCACAAAAGGGGGGAAGGAGGAGGAGTAGGAGGAGGAGGAGGAGGAGGAGGAGGAGGAGGAGGAGGAGGAGGAGGAGAGGAGGAGGAGGAAGAGGAGGAGGAGGAGAGGGCCTCTAACAAGCCCCCCAGAGGCCACCCAAGAAACCCACAGAGGGTCCCAAGAGGTCCCCGGGAGCCCTATACAGGCATTGGCGATGCTCCCCGGGGCGGTGGCTTCGGTGCGACGCCGAAATGAAATGGTCGGGGCGGAGGGGGGCGGAGTGGAGCACTGGGCTGCTTGGGAACGCTGGGGTGAGGGCGGTGCGACGCCGAAATAAAGTGGTCGGGGCGGAGGGGGTCACGCTGGGGGGAGGGGGGGGGTGCGACGCCGAAATATAATGTTCGGGGCGGAGGGGGGCGGAGGAGGTCGGGGTGGCGAGGGCACTGGGCCGCTGGGCAACGGTGGGGGCTGCTCGACGCCGAAATATAATGGTCGGGGCGGAGGGGGTCGCGCTGGTGGTGGTGGTGGTGGTGGTGGTGGTGGTGGTGGTGGTGGTGGTGGTGGTGGTGGTGGTGGTGGTGGTGGTGGAAGTGGTGGGTGTGGGTGGGTCGGGAGGAGACAGTGACGGGGGGGGTCGGGCCAGGAGGTGGCGGTGCGACGCCGAAATAAAACGGTCGAGGCGGAGGGGAGCGGGGTGGAGAGGGCACTTGTCTGCGGGCGGTGGGAGCTATGGGGGTGGTGCGACGCCGAAGTAAACTGGTTGGGGCGGAGGGGGGGCCGGGTCGGGGCAGAGGGGGGCGGGGTGCAGAGGGCATTGGGCGGGCAGGGAGGGGGGAAGGCCCGTGGGGGCAGGACGGTGGGAGCGGTGCGATGCCGAAATGAGGTGGTCGGGGCGGAGGGGGTCACGCTGGTGGTGGTTGGTCTGGGCGGGCGGGTGGAGGGGCGGGAGGGGCGGGGCGGTGGGTGCGGTGTGACGCCGGAATAAAATAGTCGGGGCAGAGGGAGGGGTGCAGAGCGCATCGGGCGGCTGGGGAGGGGGGAAGGGTCGAGGGGCGGGGCGGCAGGGGCGGTGCGGCGCCGTGGTCGGGGCGGAGTAGGGCGGGGTGCATTGGGCGGGTGGGAGGGGGGAAGAGTCGCGGGGGCGGTGGGGGCGGTGCGACGCCGAAATAAAATTGTCGATGCGGAGGGGGGCGCGGTGCAGAGGGCACTGGGCGGTCGGGGGGGGCTCAGGTCGTATGGCGGGGCGGCGGGGGCGTGGGGGCGGTGCGACGCCGAAACCAAATGGTCGGGGCGGAGGGGGGCGGGGGTGCAGAGGGCACTGGGCGGCTGGGGAGGGGGAAGGGTCGGGGAGGTGGGACGGTGGGGGCGATGCGACGCCGAAAAAATGGGATCGGGGCGGAGGGAGGCGGGGTGCATTGGGCTGGCGGTGGGGGGGGGTCGGGGAGCGGTGCGGCGCCGGGGTAAAGCGGTCGGGGCGGAGGGGGGAGAGTGCAGAGGGCACTGGGCGGCCGGGAGGGGGGAAGGGTCGGGGGGGCAGAGCGGTGGGAGCGGTGCTGCGCCAAAATCAAATGGTCGGAGCGGAGGGGGGACGGGGTGCACTGGCCGGGTGGGGAGGGAGAAGGGTCATGAGGGCGGGACGGTGGGGGCGGTGCGACGCCGAAGTGAAATGGTCGGGGCGGAGGGGGGACGGGGTGGACTGTCTGGGTGGGGAGGCGGGGAGGGTCGTCGGGGCGGGGTGGTGGGGGCGTTGCGACGCCTAAATAAAGTGGTCGGGGCAAAGGGTGGCGGGGTGCAGAGGGCACTGGAAGGATGAGGAGGGGGGAAGGGTCGGGGGGTGGGGACGGTGAGGGCGGTGCGACGCCGAAACCAAATGGTCGGGGCGGAGGGGGGCGGGGTGCAGAGGGCACTGGGCGGCTGGGGAAGGGGGCAGGGTCGGGGAGGCAGGACGGTGGGGGCGGTGCGACGCCGAAATAAAGTGGTCCGGGCGGAGGCGGGCGGGGTCCCCGGGGTAGAACGGCACTGGACGGAGGTGCGACGCCAAAGTGAAGTGGTCGGGGCGGAGCATTCACTGGACGGGGGGCGGTGTCACGCTGGTGGTGATGGTGGCTGGTGTGGGTGCGCGGGTGGAGGGGCGTGGGGGGCGGGGCGGTGGGGGCGGTGCGACGCCGACATAAAGTGGTCGGAGCTCTAGACACCCTGTGCAAGAGAGGAATCATAATCAGTCTCCATCTCCGCGCCGCGAAGGGGTCCTGTGAGGCCTCCCTCGCCCCGCGACTTTTGGCCCGCGCCGCCGGCCGGCCGCGCCACACCGGGGCGAGGCTGGCGACGCCCTCGAGGCCGAGCGCTGGTTCGGGGCCATGGTGAACGCCGGGCCAGCCGGCTGCGTCGCCCAGCCCATCGAGTTCGCCGCACTGGTCGGGGCTGGCCGCCATTCGCTCTCCTCCTTTTCTTCCTTCTCCTTCCTCCTCCTCCTCCCTCCCTTCCTCCCTCCTCCTCCTCCTCCTCCCCCTCCTCCACAATTACTCAATATGAATACTACTCTCCCTCTTCCCCTGATGACGGCTTGAAAGTGTTAGCCCCCCCCGCGTACGGTTTTTTTACACAGGATTCCCCGGAGTTGGGTTTTCGCTTGCATTTTTGTCCAAAATGCTGCTCTCGCTGAGGCGCCGGCCTCATTTTCGGGCCCCGCTCGTTCCGAATCGTGCTCCCGCTGCAGCGCTGGCCTCATTTCCGTGCTTCCGCTCGTTCCGAATCGTGCTCCCGCTGCAGCGCTGGCCTCATTTCCGCGCTTCCGCTCGTTTCGACTCGTGCTCCCGCTGCAGCGCTGGCGTCATTTCCCGTGCCATGCCACGGCATGCAATGCAATGCTAGGTTGATGCTACGCTTTGCGGTGCTCTTCTACGCCATGCCATGCCGTGCTCTACAATGCATCGCGTACCCTTTCGGGATCATTGCCCTGCTCGACATCCGACTGTGCGAGTAGAGAGGGGATCTACGCCATGGTAAGGGATGGGAGGGAGGGGTAGGATGTCAGATATGACGCGAGCGCACCTAGCTTGTCCTCCTCCCCCTCCTCCTCCTCCTCCTCCTCCTCCTCCTCCTCCTCCTCGTTCCCACTCCCTCACTCCTTCCTTCTCCTTCCCCTGATCCTCCTCCTGCTCCTCCTCATCCTCCCCCTTCTCCTCCCTCCTTTTATGTAAGTTTGTTTTATGATTATCGTCATCATGCTCCTTCTCATCTGAGTATACGTCTCATTGTTACCAGTATTATCAGCGTTCGTTGTCTTTTATTATTATTAGTATTATTATTATTATCATTATTATTATTATCATCAATATTATTATTATTCTTACTATTCTTATTAATAATATTATTATTCGTATTTCAGGTATTCGTGTTATTTGCATTCGTATTCGGATGCGTATTCTTATTAGCATTAGTATTGTCAAGTACGTGCTCATTGGTATTTGTAGTAGTGCTAGTCGTAGTATGTCGATGATGTGTATTATTCGTGTTCTTCGTATTAATATGAGTATTCGTGTATGATTATTATCATTATTATTCGTATCATTATCAATATTCCCATGCGTTCTCTAGTAATCGTACAACGATTAATATGAACCGTAGTCCTATGATGAGCATTATTACTTCGACTACTCGTATTATTCGTATTCTTCGCATTCGTATCGTTAATCGTATCATGACTGCTATGGTCTTTATAATCATAGCTACTGAACGGCTCGTATTGCTATTATCATGACTCGTATCATGTTTCTTCTCATTTCTCATCTCCTCCTGCTCGCTGCACAAAGCCAGGCAGATGCCTAGGCAGGTCCCGAGGGACCATCACCCCCGGAGGGGTGAAGATAGTGGTAGTTGTTGTCCCGGACGGGTATGTACTGGAAGTGCTGCCTGCCTGGGTCATCCTCGAGGACATGGCTCAAGCTCGGGTATGCGCTGCTCGCTGGTCGAGGTATTTCTGGTGGGGCTCGTGGAGGAGGAGCTGCTGAGTCGGACTGCGAGTTGGGAGCGCCCCAACGCTCTCTCAACACATGTCGCCTGATCTTGGCAAGGCATATCAGATTGTGTTTCCATTGTTCCTTGTAGTTTTGGGGCAGCCGGGAGGGCCACCCTGTCCTTCTTTCAAATGCAGAAGACGGCGTCACCATACCGACGCGGAAACACGAGAGTGCGGGGCAGTGCCACGCCTCATGGTTCCAGCAGCTGACTTCGCCTGCATACCTGTGACAACGAGGGGCAACAGCCCCGTTGAGGATCTTGTCATACTTGGCAGTGCTCCAAACAGCACCCGTGAGAACAGCGATCGCATGGCTCCCAAGATCGTTCTTGATTAGATCGTGAAGCAGTGCCAGGGCCTGCGGGACGAAGCTGACCCGCGCGGACGCGGCCAGCAGCGAGTCCTTGCGCTGCATGCCCTTGAATGCGTCCCACCACGAACGCCGCAGTGCAAGCCGCACCAGATGCTGCGCCACCTTGGTGGAGAATGTTCGACAAATACTGATTGGATCGTCTCCCAGCTAGCCGTGCCAGCCCTTTTGATTGTTGTGCTCGCAGAAGCTGAGAGACAACTGGTTCATCAAGTCGTTGAGCATGGCGGTGGGGCCACGGTGGCGCGTGAGACGACGCACTGCTGTCGGGACAGGCGCCTCCGCGACCTTGGCAAGGTAGTCGATTGCAACTGCTCCCTGCCGTTTGTACCGGGCCCGCCAGATCACCCACAGACGCGAAATAATTCTGTAGAGGATGCAGCAAGAGTGCCCTGTGACCAGCAAATGTCTGAGATGAAGACAACCCGAGCGCCTCCTGCTCCCCCTCCTCCTCCTCCTCCTCCCCCTCCTCCTCCTCCTCCTCCTCCTCCTCCTCCTCCTCCTCCTCCTCCTCCTCCTCCTCCTCCCCCTTTTCCTCCTCCTCCTCCTCCTCCTCCTCCTGGTCGACGCCTGCGCCAAGGGCCGGGACGCGGAGCGCGCCGTCCTGTGGCTCCGCAAGACGGCGGCCGCTGGAATTCCGGGGGCTGGGTGGGTAGCCTGGGTACCAGGCCGGGCTTCGGGAGGAGGAGGAGGAGGAGGAGGAGGAGGAGGAGGAGGAGGAGGAGGAGGAGGAGGAGGAGGAGGAGGAGGAGGAGGAGGAGGAGGGGAGGAGGAGGGAGGAGGAGGGGGAGGAGGAGGAGGAGGAGGAGGAGGAGGAGGAGGAGGAGGAGGAGGGAGGAGGAGGAGGAGGAGGAGGAGGAGGAGGAGGAGGAGGAGGAGGAGGAGGAGGAGGAGGCGGGGGAGGCGGCTGGGTCGCAGGTCAGCGGGGAAAACCACGGATTGCGACTCTGCCCTGCCGTCGTGTCCGACAGTCTGGGCCTCTCGTGGGTGCTTTCCTTGCCACGGCCGGGCTCGCCTCGGAATTTCTGGGCAGCACGCCGCGCCTGGAGGGGTACGGGAGGCGGCGGCGTCGCAGCCTTCTGGAACCCGGGAAGGAGTCTGTGCCGGGCCCCCGCATCGGCCAGGTCCCCGGCCTCTCGACTCAAGGCTCCAAGGCGACAAGGGGTGAGCGTTCTGGGGCGCTTCGGGATCTTTTTGGGCGTCCTGGGCGCCTTTGTCGCCATGGCGCTGGATCTGCCTCGAGGTTGGGGCCAGGTCATACATCTGGACAAGTCGGGGGCCCGACTTGAACGGCATGAGCCCCTGGACCCCTGACGAACGGTGAAATTGCGCCGTGACGCTTCGACCCCTGAGAGCCATTTCTGGGCTGCCAAGATCGTGATTCAAACAGCTCAGGATGATGAAGCCAGTCCATGGGAGGGGGTTGGGAGATCCTGGGGCCCACGCTGCGAAAAAGTGGAGTCGTCAGAGGTCTGGGTCTGGGGGTGGACAGGGCCTGGACAGGCCAGGCCGCCCGCGCGCAGGTGCGCGAGGCTGACCGCGCCTCGTGCTCCGCCGTCTGGGCCGGCGCGTTGCCCTGTTCCAGGGTGGAGGACGGAGGAGGGAGGGAGGGAGGAAGAATATGGAGAGCTCCCAGGAGGAGGGAAGGAGGGAGGAAGGCCACAAGGAGGAAGGAGGGAGGGAGGGACTGGAGGAGGGAGGGAGGAAGGAGGGAGGGACTGGAGGACGGTGCATGGACAAGGGCAGCCCGGGAGACGCCGACGACGCTGCAGCCACGCCCGCCCGCGCCCCCTCCTCACCGCGTGGGGCCCTGCAGCCCCCGCTCCTCCTCTCCCGCGACGGGCCGGGCCTCCCCCATCGACAGGCCGGCCTGCCGGCTCGGGCGAGATATTTACGTCGGGCGTGTCCCTCTACAGGGGAAATATTCAAAAATAGTCAAAAAGATAGTCTGGGCTTGTTTTTTTGACTATTTTACTGCATTTCTGGTGCATGTTTGGAGTATGTTTAGACTTTCCACTAGAATCCGCCTGTGGGGGGACAGGCCCGGCCTAAGGCGAGACGCCACCTCGGCGCCAGCTTTAAAAACTGATCAGCATGGCGCCTGGGAAAGGTTTCAGGACTGGTTGTGGGCGGGCTCTGGCTGGAGGAGGAGGAGGAGGAGGAGGAGGAGGAGGAGGAGGAGGAGGAAGAGGAGGGGGAGGAAAGGGAGGCGGAGGAGGCGGAGGTGGAGGTGGAGAACGCGGAGGGCGAGAAAGGGACTGGCTGGTTCGAGGCGGCACGCCTCGGCATGTAGAGAGGCCGCGCCTGCCTGGGATGAGCGCCCAGGGGCCCCCTCTGCGAGAACTCGACCAGGCCTGGATCCAGGGTGCTGCCCCGGGTGGGACGGGGGGGTCATCCTTCGTCAGGGCCCCTTGCGCCGTGGAAGATCTCGACGGAAGGTTTTGCGCTATCTTCCGGGGGCCCCGACCGGGCCTCGGGGTCGTCAAAGAACGGCTCGGAGTGAAACGCCGGTCCCTGGGAAGGGGTCCAGAGCTCTGGGGGTCCACGTTGTGAAAGAGTCATGACGTGGGGGGTCTGGCTATGGTCGGGGCCCAAGTAGTTAACCAGGTCTTCGCAGACCAGGGCCTCGCCGAATGCCGTGGTGGGAGACGGAAGACTGGAGGATGGTCTCAGCCCGCGGCTGTAATTTTCCTGGGTGCGCCAGAGTCCTGGAGTAGCAATCCGAGGCAGGATGTTTTCCATGTCCACCGCCTGGGGGACCGATCTTCCTGTCTTCTTGGGCCTCGGGTGGCGGTGGATATGGATATGCGTGAAGATATGCGTATCAGCGTGTATATATACACACAACTATGTATATGTATAGACACCCCCCCAGCACCCATTCTTGCCAGCACTCACTTACGACGGTGGTGCTCGTCCTTTCCTCCTTCTCCTCCTCGTTTTTTGTCTCTCTCTCTCTCTCTATCTCTCTCTCTCTCTCTCTCCCTCTCTCTCTCTCTGCTTCTCCCTCGCTCTCTCTCTCTCTCTCTCTTCTCTGCCTCTCTCTCTCTCTCTCCTTCTCTCACTCTCTTTACTCTTTCTCTCTTTCTCTCTCTTTCTCTCTTTCTCTCTTTCTCTCCCTCTCCCGCTTTCTCTCTCTCTCTCTCTCCCATTCTCTCTTTCTCCCATTCTCTCTTTCCCAGACACCCAACACAATCTCTGTGAAAGCACAGGGCTTACGACATCATGGGTGCAGACATCCTGCGTTTTCTTTTGGGTGTCTGGAGCGGCTGCAGGCCCGGCGGGCCGTCCCCGGCCGAATGACTGGGCTCGGCCCGCCGGCGGCGGCTGGCTTCCCTGGAGCTTGGCCAGACCTGGAGCAGACTTCGAGAGAGGGTGGTGACTCGGGAGCCCGCGGGAGGCACCGATGCCGCTGGGAGGGCGGCGGGCGGCGAGCCGAATACGGAGTGGCCGCAGGGCTCCAAGTCGACGCCGACACGCACGGCGGGGGTGCGACCGCGATCCCCACCCCCTCGCCGTGGGGTGGCCTAGCATTAAGTCGGGCGTGTCCCCCTACAGGGGTATTGTCGACGAAAAAAATACCCCAAAAATAATCAAACAATAGTCCAACAATAGTGTGGGGACTTTTTTTTTTTTTTTTGGTTTTGCCTTTTTTGGGCATTTTTTTGCGTATTTTTATTTGTCGACGAAAATCCCCCTGTAGGGGGACACGCCCGACATAAGCCTAGCAAACACACCCACGGTAAAACTCCGGAACATGGCGCCAGAGGGGGTGAGGCAAGTTGCCGAAAACCAGCGACACCTGTGACCCCTCGGCTCCAGACGGAGGTGACAGGGAGGGGGAGGAGACGGCGGCGGCGGCAAGGCGGGGGGCGGCTGTGGCGCAGCGATCGGGCAGCAGCAGCTCGCGCGCTTGTGTGCGCGGCGCGATGTGCGCCGCTGGCGCCGGGGCGTCCGTCGCCCGGCGTCGCGGCCCTCACGGGGCATCCATCCGCCGGTGCATCCGCGGGACCTCCAGCCGGAGCACGCTGTGCACGCGGCGGGGTCGGAGCGCCCACGAGCGGCCCCGCCCCGCCTGTGGCCAGAGCGCCGCGCTGGCGGAGGGGCCGCCCAGCTGGCGCTGGGCCGGGCGGGGGAGAAATTGATGGGGAAGCCGTCAAAGTGAATTTCGTGGGTCAGCCTGGGCACGCCCGGGAGTGAATGTACATTCGCGGCCCTTGCCGAAACAGGCAGGGCGCAGAAGAATGATGAGGGGGCGGCGCGCGCGCCTTCGGGCACGGGGCTGGCGCCGCGCGTCGGAGCGCGCGGCGAGGCAGGGGTCCCCGTGGTGGCGAGGGGGCCCATTGGGCGAGGGGCCCCCTCGACAGGGTCGCTCGCCGCCCGTGCGCGGTGCCCCGCGGTCAGCGAAGGCGGGGGCCTGGGGGCTCATGGCGCGCGTCCGAGCGCCGCCAGTGCCACCTCCACCTGACGCCTCGCCACTGGGCAGATCGAAGGGCTCTGGTGCGGCATGGTCGGTTGCGGCCGCGGTCTCGTCGCCGCCGAAGTTAGGGGCCTGGTCGCGGCCGTGCGTGGCAGGGGCGGGGGGCGGCCCGGCGGTGCGGTCTGCGGTCGGCGGGCCTGCGGTGGTAGCGTTAGCCGCAGGGCCCGCAGCACCGTCGGTGGCGGCTGCCTGCTGGGTGCGCAGGGAGCCCGCTGACGGCAGCACGCGCAGCGGGGCCCCTGTTTCCGACGAGTTGGGCGACGCTGATGGCCGGCGGGTGATTGGACTGTCGGGACGGTAGCGGCCCCACGGCGACGGGGAGCGGCTGTTTGCGGCGGCGTTTTGGGACGGGGACGGCGGCGTGACCGCGCCCGCGGCACGGCGGTGCGGGCTGGCGTTGCGCCTGGGCGGCGGCATGGCCGCTGGTGACGGCGACCGGCGCTGGCGGCCGCTCTGGGCCACTGGGCCTCCGTGGTCGGTTGCCGGGGCGCTTGGGGCGGCGGGGGCACCGCTGTCGCTGGCTGGCCTCATGTCCCCCGGACCCTCCGCCCGGGTGGCGGCGCTCACAGCGGGGCCAGGGTTGCCGTCAATGCCTGAGCGCTTGGAGCCGCGCTGTAACTCCTCGCGGCGGGCGGCGCCCTGGCGGCGCTGCTCGGCACGGTGCTCCTTGGTGTCGCGCGAGAGGTTTCGCGAACATGGCTGATCCGCCTGCGGCCGCCCCTTGCCGCGGTTAGGGGCTGGGGCCGCCGCGGCCAGGATAAGTTGCGGCGGTGTGCGCGCTCGGTCGGGTCGCCACGGTTGGCCCCAGTGGTGGCTGGGGTTTGCTGCGGTGCACCGCCGATAGGCGTCATGCCCGTGGCCCCGTGGGCAGTCTGCTGGTGGCTGCAGTATTGGCCCCGTCCCCGCTGCCAGGTGACCCAGGCGTTGGCGTCGTCGGCGCTGCAAGAGCTCGCGCTGTGCGCGGGGTAGGTAGCGTCGGGGCTGGCAGGTCGCAGCGCGGCTGACGCTGCCCCTGCGACTGGGCTGTGCTGCCTCGGCGTGGGCGCCCGCCCAGCAGAGGCTGGCCGCGGTGGGGCCGCTTCGATGGGCGCGGGGCGTGGGGCCGCTCCGACGGGGGTGAGGCCGCTCGTGCTGCCATGGGCCTGCGGGCGCCAGGAACCGATGCCTGGTGGCGGCTGTGGGCCAGAGCTGTGGTCGCGGCGGCGAGGGCGCCTGGATCCGAAAGCGGCAGGCTCTGGGTCGCGGCGGGCACGGAACCGTGCCTGCTCGGTGGGCCACTGGTGGAAAGGATACGGCTCCGCCCCCGCCCCCTGGACAGTGGTGATGAGGAGGTGGTAGTGGTAGTCCAGATCGGTGACGCCGTCGACGAAGTCCTGATTGCGGGCGCACGAGTGGATGTGGGCGCACAGGCAGTATGTCCGGTCGTTTTTTCCTGGCCTGTGAGGTGCAGGGGCCGCGCACGCGAGGGCGTCTGGATGCAGTGGGGCGCCGTCCCAGAAGAGTACGACATCGAACCAGCGCTCCGCGGTGAGGTAGGCACGCTCGGCAAGCAGCCTGCATATGTCACGCATCGTGATAGTTCTCGACTGGTCTGCCACCTGGTAGCCCCAGTGCAGGCGGGCTCGTCTGTTGAAGGTGACGCGCTCAGCTAGCCGTGGGTGCGGCTTGAAGATGATAGCGCCTGGCCTCCAAAGAGAGGTGCTGTCGTCGTGCGGTTCGGGCGTTTCCTCAGGGTCATAGGGCATGCCGCCCCTGGTGCATGGACACCCGCCGCCTCGCTGTGGACCACCAGCGCCCGCCCCTTGGCATGCGCCTTCGAGCGGCAGGCCAGGGGCATAAGCCTGGACATGGGCCTGGCCGCGGTAGCCAGGTTGACCAACCTGTTCGCCATCGGCGCCTTGCCCAGTGCTGCGTCGGCGGAACGGTCGGGTTGGCGGGCGGTGCCGCGCCCGAATATCTTCGCGCAGATGGAGGGGCCCATGCCCGAGTCCCTCTAGGTGCATTCGAAGATCGGCGGATGTGGGCAACGGCTGTTTAGCACACAGTGCTCCTGGTGTCGCGGGAAGGTCGTGTAGGAGCAGACCCGCATGGCCCGTGATGGCGCCGCCGGTGTACCACCGCATGAGTGACCTCATGCGGTGGTAGAAACGCAAGTGGCGCACGTTGTGTCCAGACGTCGTTGCATGCAGTGCCCGCAGCACTGGTGGTCGCAGCCGTGTGAGTCGCAGATCCATCGCCCCGGGATATGTGAGCCCTCTGGGGCCCTGCGCGTCCACAGGGGAAACATCATCTCCCAGCTTTCTCCCGCGCTTGGCACGCAGTCTGCCGCGGGGCGGGCGTCGCTAGCGAGGCGGCAGATCCAGGCGCGGGGTGAGTTGTTAGCTGGGTGGAGCACCGGCCTCTAGACTAACTAGCATCTACTTAGGATTGAACAGATCCACAGCACGAGAAAACAGCGGAGAAATGACGAATAGGAAAGATGAATGAACAGACTCGGATGAAAAGAAGGCGGGGGATCAGTAAGAGTACGGACGGAGAGTTCAAAGACCGATGCAACATGCACGTGTGGTCGGGGGCTGCGCGTTCATCCATGTATACGTATACATATATGTATGTATGTATGTGTGTATGTATGTATACTTGTCATTGACTGTTGTGTTTGGAGGGGGAGAGGCGGTCTCGGGCCCATCATCCGAGGGGACTATGGGGCGTCCATCTCTGCAGCCTCTTTGTCCAAGTCCACTGGTGCAGTGGGTGGCCGACCAACTGAGCGGCGCGACACCTGCGATGCTCGGCGCCATAGTCGGACGGCTGATGTCGGGGGCCACCAGCTGCTCCTGCCATTTCGAGTCCCATCGATGAGCAGCTCCTGGCCATCCTGCGCGGGCAGCTGGATCTCTGCGGCCCAGAGCGCCCGCGTTGCCCGCCCGCGCCGCCGTGCGGGCCAGCAGCCTGCCGGCGACTGCAGGGCTGGGTGTGCTGCTGGGGGCGGGCGCCACCCTCGGGCTGCAGGCGCTGCCGGGGTCGCGGGCTCGACCGACAGGGGCGGCCGCGCCGAGCGTGGCAAGCTCAGCGGGCCCCTCGGCAGTGACGCCGACAAAGTTGCGACGCCTGCGTGATGGCGACGACGCTGGACATCGACATCATTCAGATTGGTGGAGTATCCCGACGGTCCGAACATACAATGGCATCACAGGCTGCTGTTGCACGAACTGGGCCCAGGCCGCTGGGCCGTGGCCACGCCCGACTTTTCGGTGAGGGCGCTGGATGTGACGGCCAATCGCGCGCTGCCTCTCGTGCGCGCTGCTCCGCGGCCGGAGCAGGTGCGAGGCAGCGCGCGCGGCTTCGACCCGCTCGCGGCCGACCAGCGGGGCGACCTTCCTGCGTGGTGGGCAGCTGGCGCGGGCGCCCAGGCACAGGCCGGCTGCCGCGGCGGCGGACAGGCAGCGGCGCGTCTCGGACACGGGGCACCGGAGCTTCAACGAGGTGATCCCCGACGGCGGCATGCTCGGGGACCGCGCGGCGGTGAAGGGGGGGGCGGGCCTCCGCCTTCGACCAGGAGACGGGCGAGTGAGGTCACCGTGCAGCGGGTCAGGAACCGCGACCCGGACAGCTGGCTAGAGCGCAAGCGGAGCGGGGCAGGGCGCGACCTCCGCATCTTGCCTGTCCACCGCGACTCTGGCGGCAAGAGGGCCATGCTGCTGCAGGAGTCCGCGAACTCTTTCTCGGACCCCAGTTCGCCGACTGGCCGTTCGAGGGGCCTTCCTCGGCGCGCGAGCCCATGGCGGACGCGGCGGCGGCGGGCCTCGAGTTGCACCTGTATCCGACGCGGTGGGAGGGCAAGAGCGGCGCGAACCCGTCGGGCAGCGTGGCTCGCGAGGTCAGGCTGGCCTTCGACTACCTGCGCGCGGTCCTCCGACCAGCTGAACATGCAGGCCTTGGCGTCGGCGGAGCTGATCTGCCGCCGCATCATCTTGTGCCGGCGGGCCGCGAGGCGGAACCCGAAGTCGCCCGACTTCACGGGCCTGGAGCGTTCCGCGCAGTCCAGCTTCGACGACTCGGGCGGCCCGAAGACGAAGGAGTTCGACAAGTGCACGGCCGAGCAGCAGAAGACGAACGCGACCGTTCTCAAGAGTCTAAGGCAGGACCTCGAGAAGCAGGAGAACCAGAAGAAGAGGCAGGCCAGTCGCAATAAGGGCGACGGCCAGCTGGGCAAGGACTAATGTGGCCGGGGGGTGCGGCGACGATTGGGTCGTCATCGCGGGGCTTGAGCTTCGGCGCTGCACCCCCACTGCCGGGGCCGACGACGACCTCGGCTGACCGCGAAGTTTTGACGTCGCCGTGCGATGCTTTCCGTTCTCCTTGCCGCCACCTCCTCTGGGTGACGGTGGTGCTGAGCGAGATCGGGCGGGCTCGTGCCGCCTTCCGACTCGTGCTGTTGCTGAACCTACGGCGGCTGCTCTTTCTGTTGACGCGGTCGCGGCCCTGAATGGTCTGGCCCCCCCTCGCGTTGGTCGGCCGCTGCACCTGCGGCGGCCGAGGCCTTCCAAACAAGTGGTCACGTCGGCTCAGCAGTCGATGCCTGGCGGCGTCGGGGGGCGGGTGGACGACCAGTTTCCCATCCCTCCCGACGCTGGTTGCCCCCCCCCCCCCCCCCCCCCGCACTTCCGGACCTCCTGAAAGGCGCCGACATGCACCTGGCGAGCGACGCCACCAGCCGCGCCCCGATCCAGCTGGAGCGACTCAAGATCCTGCAGAACGACATTGTGCCGAAGGAGGTGCTGGGCGTCTGGGGCGCCGACGCCCGCCGGCTTCTGGCCGACCCTTGGGGGTGTATTGAACGACGAGCTGATGATGTCGAAGCAGACGGGCCACCTCCACGCCCGCGCTCCGACCCACGGCTCCGCCAGAGCCGCGAGCTGCTGAAAGGGCTGGCGCTGACTTTGCACCGCGGCGGCCTCGTCGCGTTTGGCCGGGTGCCGAACCATTGGCGCCGACGGCCGCCGCGCTCCCGCCTGGCGGCGCCAGGTGCGGCCTCGGCGCTCGACCTCGGCGACGCGGCGCTGGAGCAAGGAGCCGCGGCGGCCATGGAGCTGCGCGGCGCGGCCGTGGACCTCCAGGACGGATTCTACCAGCCGTGCTTCAAGGTGACGAGCGACTGGTTCGGCCTCGACTGCCGCATGACCGACGAGGAAGCCGGGATCGCGGAGATGTTCGGCGTCGGCTCCTGGCTGCCCGTCGCGGCCGACGATGCGGTCTGGCCCTGCTTCTGCGGCGTGCCCGTGGGGTGGGCTTGGGTCATGTTCAAATGCCATGTCGCTCGGACCTCGCCGACGACATGGCGAAGTCCTTCGTGCGGAGGATGCGCTGCGAGCGGAATTTGGCGGAGGCCCAGCTGCTGCGAGACGTGCGGCTTGCTCCGCGGCTCGCCCAGGGCAGTCCCGTCGCGGCGCCGTGCGCCGACAACGGCGGCCTGCTCTGCTTCGACAGCGAGGATGCCAATACCTTCTGCGACGCGATGGTGGCCGCGCTGACCGAGCGCGGCTTCGCGCTGTGAGACAACGTAGAGTGCGACCCGAACCTGGGCGCGGTGGGGTTCGAGCTTCAGGGCACGAAGTTCCCGTGGAGGCAGCGGCGCTCCCGCGTCTGGCGTCAGCGGCACGCGCCGCGGCAACTGGAGCTGCGGGCGGGCTGCGCGGGGGAGGTGATGCGCATCGTGTTGGGCCACCTGGTGAATTTCTTCATGCTGGCTCGGCCCGCCCTGAGCGTGCTCTCGTGCCTGTGTGGCCGCAGCGCCGAGAACTTGGGCCGCTTCCGTTGGTGTGGCAGCCGCGTTCGAGGGGGGCTGGTGACCTGTCGGCGCCTGCTGGTCCTGGTCAGGGGCGCAGCACTGCCCCGCGGCCTTCTGCTCGGACGCCTGCGCGACGGGCCGCGCCATCGACGCGGGTCTCTTCAGCGGGAGTAAGCTGCGCGACGTCTGCCAGTGGCGGGAGCGTTGGAGGTTCACCGACGCCGAGGAGGAGGGGGAGGGACCAGGCCGCTCGCAGGCCCAGACCTGGGCTGGACGCCGACTTCCACGAGCTGGGGGAGGACCTGGACGTAGAGGACCACGACTAGCCTGCTCGGCGGGCACCACGGGCGAGCAACCTGGCGCCCGTCGAGGCCATGGGAGCGGTCGAGGCCGGGGTCCCACATCCCGGGGTGACCGGCATCGTGCCCTCGCTGCCCGACGGCATGTCGCCGCTGGGCGCTGGAGGCGGCTGCTGGTCGGCGCCTGGGAGAGGCGCGAGGCGATCCACATGGAGGAGGTGAGGATCGCGCTGGTGGGACTCTATCATGCGTCGCGTGACCCAGCGAGTCACGGCGGCGTAGTCCTGCCCCTCGGCGGCAACCTCTCCGAAGTCTTGGCCACAGAGCGGGGTCGGGCGCACAGCCCTGCCTTGAACGCCGTCCGCAGGCATGCCGCTGCGATCGAGCTCGGAGCCGAGGTGCGGTAGGTTCGCCGCCACATCGAGACGGCGCGCAACCCCACCGACTCGGACTCGAGGCTCGCGGAGCGCGGGCTGCGGCGCTACGCGGTGGCCGGCTGGCGGCTCGGCTGGGGCGGCTGCGGGGGCTGGCGGCGGGTGCCGCAGCGGACCGCAGTGACGCCGCGAGCGTGGGCCCGGGTCGGACCGAAGCTGCCCTGCCTGTCGGCCGCCCGCTCGCGCCGCCGCTGGTCCCGAGGCCGCCGCGGGGCGGCCGCAGCCGCTCGGGCGTGCTCAAGGTTTTCAGCGGCTGCGCCTGGCTTTCTGGCGCCTGCCCTGCGGCCGGGCTGCGCATCCTCTGTCCCGTGGATGCCTCGGCCGGGCCGCGCCCCGACGTTTTCAGTGTTGGTGTCCAGCAATTAATCCGCAAGTGGATCGCTCATGGTCACGTCTCTCATGTTCGTCTCGCTCCTCCCTGTATTCGATGGAGTGTCGCGAACAGAGCGGGGTCCAAGGACTCCTCGGACTCTCGGGCCGGCCTTGGTTGTGTCGGCTTCACGGTGAAGGTCTTCGGGTTGTGCCATCGTGTTGGGGTCTCCGTGTCAATTGAGAATCCAGCGTCCTCGAGGCTCCTGAAGTACCCGCCCCTCGTGAGCACCATGCCGCTGCGGAGCCCCCTTCAAGAAGCCGACGGCATTCATCACTAGTGTACCACCCTGAAGGTCATAGAGAGGAGGTGTATGTGCGCGGTGCCCCACGAGCGCCCCGAGGGGAATGTGAAGGTCCAGGACGGGGCTGGTAAGCTCATTTGGAAGTGGAAGACCTCCCTGGCGGCCGCGTATCCTCCAGGGCTCTGCCGTACTCTTGCACTAGGGCTCAAGGAGGCCTTGGGTCGGAGCGTCGTATACACCGTTCCTGGTTCCAGGGTGGGCTTGGCCAGGGGCAGCGCAAATGTATAGAGCCCGTCGCCCTATCCTCGGCACGTCCCAGGAAGCTGGCCCAGGCTCTGAAACCCCCGCTACGTGCACGGGGCTGCGCGCGCGAAGCTAGCCTGGCGTTCGCACAGGGTTTGCCCCGAAGCTGGCCTGGCTTCCTTGAGTCGATGGTTTCTATTACTCGTCACCTCGGCTGTACTCATGAAAGTTAAGCCGCAATCGGGACGCCTAGCAACTGCGCCACATGATCGGGAACGGGCCTCCAAAGAGGCCGACCCCGTGCCACCCCCCGCGGGAATCGCAGGTCGAGGGCTTCGATCTTCTCTGGTGCCTCCAGGGTCGTGCTTTTGCAATCAGTGGGCCCTTGGGCCCTTCACAGTCAAACCGCATAGCAAGGATGGGCAACCTTTCCAAGGGTACCCTTGCATCCTTGCCCCTTCGGCCCATCCTGAGCGCCAAGGTCTTCGCATCCTTACCGCGCATCCTGATGATACGGGTCGACTGTATCTGGGGGGCTCCGGCAGTCGTGTTTTCCGTGCCCGCGCTGGTGGTGCGGGCCGTGTCGGGCCCTCTCGCCTTCCCGTGCGTGGAGACAGCGGTTCGCCCACGGCCGATCCGGCTCGAGCCTTGCCTCGATCGCCCGAGTGCAGGCTGACGAGGCTGAGTACCTCCACTGATGTCAACCGAAGGAGAAAAACACAGGCGTTGCCAGAAGCTTTTGGAGCTCCGTGCGCATGTTTTGGATCTGCGCCGGGCCCCCCTGGCGGGTTCCGCGCGGCAGGGACGGGGGCCCGGCGCAGATCCAGGAATTCCGCGCGGACCTCCGACAATTCATGCCTCTTGTGTTTATCCGACGGTCTTCGGCACATTCTGCCACGGGGCCTGGGCTGTGGGCATAAAGCTTATTGGATGTTCGCTGGGTTCTCGTGGGGGGCCTCTCGGGGCCCTCTTGGAGGCAATTCTGAGGCCTTTGGGGGGCCGTTTTGAAGCCTCTTGGGGCCTCTTGGGGGCTTCGTGGGGGCCTTTTGGGGCCTCTTGGGACCTCTTGGGGGCCTCTTTGGGGCCTCTTGGCGCCTCTTGGGCTGAAACTGTTGTCAGTAGCGATACTTGACCGCTCCGTTCCCCCAGCACCGCTCGTAAAAAAGTGAAATGATTTATGAGGTCGTCGTCGTACAAGGCTGGCGACGACCGCTGGATTTTTGGCTCAAGGTCGGAGGGCCTTGATCGACCCCTTGGAAATTAAATTGCTGGATTTACGGCAGCCTGCCCGACTGCCGGAAAGCAAACCACCTACATCAGATTGCCATTGATCTTCTTGTCGTTGATCCCGTAAGCGTCGTGGTATACTGCGGTATAACCTGGGTAATCTACCCCTTGCCTGGGCGAAGCAGCGAGGCTAGCCCTAGAAGGGAGGGTTTCGGATTAGAGGTTGGAGCAAGGATGTGTACCAGAAGATCATTTACTCTGATTCAGGGCGCTTCTTGCGGCCTCCTAGGGGCCTCTTGGGGCGAAAGGCTCGGATTTTCGGTTCGTGCTCCCTCTGTTGGGCCCATTTCTGGGGCCGTCTTGGGGCCCTCTTGGGGCGCTCTTACGCTGTCTTGGGGCTCTCTTGGAGGCCTCTTGGGTCGTCTTGGGATGCTCTTGGGGGCCTCTTGGGCCGTCTTCGAGCGTCGGAAAGCCGAAATCCTTCAAACACCCAAGGAAAATCAAAAAATGATTCGTGCCTCTTGGAAGCCTCTTGTGGCGTCTTGGAGCGCCTCTTGGGCCATCTGGAGGCCATCTTCGGCGTCTTGGAGCGATCGTTCGGCGGCTCGGGGCCCACTTGGACTCGTGGGAGGCTTCGGGAGGTCGCTTTGGGGGGGCACAGCGTCCACAGGAGGCGCAGGAAACACTTCAGAACTCACGGGAGCTAGTCCGGAAACTTCGGAAAAGCTTGGGGCACGATTGGTCAGGGCCCTTCAAGGCTTACTGTTCTCGCTGCAGATGCAGCACAGCGTCTGCCGATCAGTGCTGCGTGAGCCTTGGGGCACTCCACTTCGTGCCATAGGCGTGGTGGCGGATCCTGCGTATATGAGGGCATAAGGTCGAGGTTGATTTTCCCCCTTGTGTCAAAAGCTCCCTGTTGATGCGTAGGCTCGCAGTTCGCATGATGTTTCCGGCACTCAGAGTTCAAAAGGCCGCCCCCGAGGATGGGCGCCTGGCGTGGAGAGCTACACGGCGGTCGTCAGCGCGTTCGCGGCGCAGGCTGCGACTGATGGCGCCGTCCATTGGTTCGACGCCATGGTCGAGCGCGAGGTTACCCCGAACGCGATATCCTACAACGCCGTGATGGACGGGTTCGCAAAGCGGGGCGATGTAGCGACTGTGACTTCATGGCTCGCAAAGATGGCAGCGGCCAGCGTGCAGCTGACATCTGTGTCGCTCGCGATTGCCGTATCCGCCAGCGTCAACGCCCGTGATGGCGTTGAGGCTGCAAGACGGTTGCAGGAGATGGTTGAAGCTGGCGTTGAGCCAGGAACCATGTGTTACAATGTTCTCATATCCAGTTGCGCCAAGAGTAGTGCGGCTGGGAAAGCGCTTCATTGGTTCGATAGTATGATTGAGAAGCGGATTTCGCCAGACGAGGTCTCTTACACTGGGCTGATTGACTGCTATGCGAAGCGAGGGGATGCCGAGAATTCAGTTCTCTGGTTTCACAAGATGGCCGAGGCCCGGATTTCTGGCTCCAGGATCGCCTACACTGCCGTCATCGACTGCTTTGCGAGACAGGGCCGCGCGGAACTTGCGATGAAGTGGCTGGAGGACATGTCACGGGCCAGGCAGTCGCCTGACGTCATCTCCTGCAATGCTGTAATCAATGGCTGCGCCAAGAGAAAAGATGTCCAATCTGCGATCCGCTGGTTAGAGCGCATGAGCGCGATGGTGGTTGCGCCCAACAGGGTGTCATACACCTCCGTCATCGACGCGTGCGCGCGATCTGGGAGAACGGATCTGGCACAGCGGTACCTCGATCAGATGGTGCAGGCCGGCCATCTGCCGGACGCAGTTGCTGCCACGGCTGTTATCGGTGCTTGCGCGCGAGGTGGCAGGGAAGCCCGTGGCGGCGATTTGGCCAGCAGACTCTTCGAACGGTTCACTTCGGCACACTTGCGCCCAGACGTTGTATGCCGTGAGCTTAGCTGGCCCGCATCAGCAGGCTGACGTTGACTCGGAGACGTGGAGACATCCAGCAGCTCCGTGCTGCCGTCACGCAGCAACGCGCCTTCTCACCACGCCTTGCGTACTGTGTGCGGCTTTGTGTATCTCCACCAGCCCATGAAGAAACGATTCCTGAGCGAGCCGCCGCGATGAGGGAAGTGAGAGAGCATTAGGGAAAGAACGACGGGGGACTCAACTGGAGGCTTTCTTGGGGAGCGCTTTGGCAGGCGGCGGGAATCTCTCTCGGGGCACTTTTGGAAGCCCGTTGGGGCCCTCTGTGGGCTCCCGTTGAGCATTGCGAATGCCGTCTGGGCCAAATTGGGCTGTCAAGTGGGCTGTTTGGTGCCATCTTGATACGGCGGGGGCGTTCGTTCAGGAATGTGCCCAGGAGGCTTTAGACCTTGGAGGGGCCCTTATCTGAGGAGGGAGGTGGTATCATCCATAGCCAATCCACGATTGGAGTTCCACCGGCCTCCAGAGCCTGGATTCCTTATCTAAGGGTTTCTTATCCAATTCCCCCACCGTATTGGGCCCATCTAGGGCCAAGCCATCATATGATGTCTCCACAATCCAGATCCCCTGAGAAGGGGCAATTAGGAGAACGGGGGTAAGAAGGACACCTTGGATGAGCTGACCCCTGGAGGCGATTGCCAGACGTTCTGCCGAGTCTTCGGGTCATCTGTGTTCTTCAGGGGCTTCTCGGGAGTTCCTCGGAGTTCATTGCTTTGCGATGCTTTGAATCTCATCGCACAGTATAACATGTGACTTGCATTGCCTGTTTTGGATTGCGGTACAGTGCTTCGCATTGTTTTGCGCCACGTTGTATTGCTTCGCGCTAGAGTCCTTGCGGTGTGTTGCTTCGCTTTGATGTGTTTTGCATTTCACTCAGAATTGCATAGCTTTGCGCTGCCTTGCTATGCTGTGCGTTGCCTTGCGCTGCTCTGGAGGAAATGCGACACTTAAGTGGGTCTGGGCTGGTTTCAGTTCCAAGAAGTTGACACGACACCCAGCTGCTGGCCGTGCCGACTTCAGCCACCCTTGCCAGGATCCACCTGCCACCCCCGATTGCAGCAGTTGCATGGCGTCCTTGCCCAAGCTTTGCGTTTGACCTCCCCCCCCCCCTATCCCCCTGGCTTTGGGCCGGGGCGGCGGGGCCGGACAGGTGGCAGTACTCTCGACGCGACGGCACGCCGGGCCAATCGCCACTGCACGTGATTACTTGGCGCCACCTGGGCTCGTTTGGGGGGCCCTCCTGGGCGGGGCAGGCCGACGCGAGCGATGCTGGCAGAGCCCAGGGACGCCCGGCCGGCCCGGGACGCTATCGGTCTGGGCCCCTGAAAGACTGGCACAGCTCTGGCTGCAGCAGCAGCATCACGACCGCTTCAGTGCCGCGTGGGCCCTGGGGCACTCCACATCGTTCAAGAGGCACGGTGTCGAAACTTCATTGCCCATCGGTCTTTGAAAGCATGTGCTTCTGGATTCCCAGGTTCCGATCTGCTGTAAGCGCCTTCCTACTTCAAGGATCGAGTGGCTTCACCTTGTCCGTCCTCCTTAGGGGGCGGACGGAGCCCAATCTGCTTTCAATGCCCTCCTACTTCATGCTCCTACTTATGAGACCCCCGGGAGGGAGGGGTCATCCTAGACGAGGGCGAGGAGGAGGGCGAGGGCGAGGAGGAGGAGGAGGAGGGCGAGGAGGAGGAGGAGAAGGAGAAGGAGGAGGAGGAGGAGGAGGAGGAGGAGGGCGAGGAGGGCGAGGAGGAGGACGAGGAGGAAAGGAAAGGGCGAGGAGGAGGAGGAGGAGGAGGAGGAGGGCGAGGAGGAGGAGGGCGAGGAGGAGGAGGAGAGGAGGAGGAGGAGGAGGAGGAGGAGGACGAGGGCGAGGAGGAGGGAGGAGGAGGGCGAGGAGGAAGAGGAGGGCGAGGAGGAGGCACGGCGTCGGAATTTCATCCATGGGACAGGCGCCCCGTGGGCCTGCCGTGCACGCTTCCTCCCTCCTCCCTCCTCCCCCTCCATCCTCCCCCCCTCCCGCCATTCCTCCCCTCCTCCTCCTCCTCCTCCTCCTCCTCCTCCTCCTCCTCCTCCTCCTCCCTCCTCCTCCTCCCTCCCTCCCTCCTCCTCCTCCTCCCTCCTCCTCCTCCTCCCTCCCTCCCCCGCAATTCCCCTCCTCCTCCTCCTCCTCCTCCTCCTTTCTCCTCCGCCTCCCTCCTCCTCCTCCCTTTCCTCCCCGCCATTCCTCCCTCCTCCTCCTCCCTCCTCCTCCTCCTCCTCCTCCTCCTCCTCCTCCTCCTCCTCCTCCTCCTCCTCCTCCTCCTCCGCCTGCCCGGGCAGTGCAAATGAGCTGCCGTGCAGACTGCAGGCCACAAAGGGATTGCCTTGTTGTCAGGGGCCTTCCTCGGGGCTTCCCGGGGTTACCCCGGTGCTGCCCAGGCAGTGCCAAGCAGCGCCGAGCAGTATGAAGCAGTGCCGAGCAGGGCCAGGCCATGCCAAGCCGTGCCAACCAGCGCCAAACAGCGCAGAGCAAAGCAAAGCAGTGCCAGACGATGCCAAACAATGCCAAGCAGTGCCACGTACCGCCACGAAATGCCAAGCACTGCCAAGCAATGCCAAACAAGGATTCCAGGCATTGCCAAGCAGCGATTACAAGCACTGCCGAGCAATGCAAAATGCCAAGCAATGCTAAGACAAGCAATGCCAAACATGCCAAGCAACGATTTCAAGCAGTGCAAATCAATGCCAAACAATGCCCAGCAACGCACCCAAACAATACCTAGCAGTGATTCCAAGCAGTGCCAAGCAACGTCAAGCAATGCAAAGCAGTACCAAATAATGCCAAGCAATGCTTTGCATAGAAGTGCTTTGCATTGCTCAGGAAAGCTTTGAAATGTGTTGTCACATTGTAAGAAAGAGAAAGACCCCGAATCGGGGTCGCGCCAGGTTCATGAACACGGCACGCCATCGATCCGTGCAGGTGTCGGAGCTTTCAAGCTTCGGTGCTGCATGTGGTGAGGAAGTCTCAGGCGAGACGCCTGGCCCGCCATGCCGACACGTCTTGGTGGTGCGACACAGGGGAGCCACCCGTGAGGAAGCGGGGGCAGGACCCAGACACCCAGCGACTCGAACAATTTGCGCCGGATGGCTTCGCCATTTGCCTTGGCATCGCTCGGACGTGTGCATTTTCCCTTCAGCGTGGACCATCGAGGAGCATCCTTGATCATCTGGCGAAAAAGCCGCACACGAAACCGAAAAAAACACAGGGAATGGACGTCCGAGCGATAGCCAGTTGCGCCCTCCAAGGCACGAGCCCGTCCTCCCGTCCTGGATGATCTCTTGGTGGCCACGCGGCCCGAGAGCGGCCACGGGGCGCTCAGATCTCTCTAGCGGCATCGCCCAGAGGTCGGAGCCTCCTCCGGCGCTCGGGCCTCCGGGTGGAGTCGACCCGCACGTCAAGGATGGGCATCCTCCCAGAGGGTGCCCCTGCATCCTCGCCTCCTCGGTCCATCCTTGGCCTTGGCATCGCTCGGACGTGTGCATATTTTTCCTCCGGCGAGGACAATCGCGGAGCATCCTTGATCATTTGGCGAAACAACCACGCACGAAACCGAAAAAAACGCAGGGAATGGACGTCCGAGCGATGGCGAGTGGCCTCTCTCGTCGGCCGCGCCGCCCTCGAGAGGCCTCGACGTGGGCGCCCGAGGCCCCTGCGTCCTTGCCGCGCCTCCTTGTGCTACGGGCGGCCCGGATTCGTAGGTCGACCCTGCCGGCTCAAGGGAACCCTTGCGTCCCGTGTCTCGCGGCCCACGCCTCCGACGTTCCTGTGGCAATGTGGCCCTCGGAAGGGTCTTGCTCAGGAGGGGGAAAAATCACACAGACACAATTCATCGTCGATTCACCCCAAATATGGGAAAATGTGGAAGTGGGGAGGAAGACAAAAACCCAGAAAATATGGGAACATATGGGGAATTCTTTTATTTGTGTGTACTTATTTGTGTGACCCAGGGCCCAAAATATGGAAAATATGGAAGTGGGGGGGAAGACAAAAACCCAGAGAATATGGGAACATATGGGGAATTCTTATATTTGTGTGTATTTATTTGTGTGACCCTGGGCCCCTTCACTTGTGTCCTCTCGCGTGTCCTGCCCGCCGCGGGCTCCCCTTCGCGGCCACCGCGCGCCACGGTGCGCGGAGGGCCGCGCACGGCCGCGCACCCTGCTGCGCACGGCAGCCTGAGCCCGAGCGGCCCGATCGCGCTCCGACGTTCTGAGTGTTGTGACCGTTGGTTTTTCGTTTTTGTGCCGGTCGGGGCGGGCCCTCGCACCCCCCCCTCCCCCCCCCCCCCCAATGGAGGGCGTCTGCGTCGAGCAGGAGGAGTCTCCCTCCCCATGAGACGCACGGTGGCAAACAGTCGCGCTAAGAAGAGGTCCGGAGCCAGACGCCCCCCCCCTAGCCCCCTTCCGCCCAATGTCGAAAAAGCCAGAGGCTCAGAGGAGGAAACGGCACCTCAGAGGAGGGAAAGGTGCCCATAACGCTACCATTCCCTCGCTTTTCCTTGTTGGGGCCTCCTGGGAGGCCCTCGTCGCCACCGTTGGGTTCGCCTCGACATGCTGGTCAGAACGCGCCCTGGGAGAGGTCAGGAGAGTAGAGGTATTGGTACCTTGTGGTCCCCCCTGGGGACCCCCTGGTTGAACGCAGGTCCAGGTTTCGCGCGGGAGGCCGCCGAAGACCGGCAGAAGCTGCCGAGGAGCGCCGGAAACCGCCGAAGGCCGTCAGATCGCCGAAGGCCGCTCGTGGCCGGTGGGCAGCAAGGGGTGCACGTTCGAATGCGTATGGGGGCTCTCCGAGGCTTCAACGCCGTGATGAACGCGCACGCCGAGTCAGGCCGCCTCCGTCGGGAGGGGGGAGGTGAGGGCCGGGGCGCGCCCATCGACCGCATGAGTGGGCCGCCCTGGCACGAGGGCGCACGCAGGAGGGGCGCGGTCGGGAGCAACGTCGGGCGCGGGGGGGGGGGGGAGGCATCGACCCCGGGTCGCCCGCTGATCGCCGAAAGGTGCCTGATGGCCCGGCCCGCCCGGGAAGGGGCGGTTTCGTCGTCGGGGGCCCATCGCCGCCCGATCAGCGATGCATCGCCGATTCCAGCACACTTGCTCCCCCCCCTGAGCCATCCCCTGGCGACCAATCCCCCTTATGGAGGGAGGGTCGGATGTTCGAGGATCGAGGGCAAGACATCGCGCCAGGAGGCATCCTCGGTTTCGGCCTCAGGTTCGGCCAGGATGGACCCAGAAGGGGCCCAGGGACCCGTTTCGGACGGATTTCCAGTCGGATGTTCGATGTGAAGAAGCAGCAACGCCGTCAGCCAGCAAGCTCCACCCAGAAAATATGGGAAAAGATGGGGATTCCTGTTATTTGTGTGTATTTATTTTTGTGTGTCCCAGGGCCCCTTCAATCTACCATCGGCAATTTCGGCTCTGCGACCTGCAGCAGGCACGACCCGCGACGAGAGACCGCCGGACGGGGCTGGGACGGAGCGCTCTGAGAAGGCCGCGGCGCCCGAGACGTTCTCCGGAGCCGGCGGATCTCGGAGATGCCCGATCCATCTCTACCAGATTTTGCCTCGTCCAGGCTTCGTCTTACGCAGCAAGCGCGGCCCGCGACGAGAGACCGCTTCCTGGGATTGGGCCTGAGAGCTCCTCAGGGCCCACGTCGCGATGCAGTCGTCGTCGGAGGTCTCGGTCCCACCCGTCGCCTTGTAGGCGGGCGTGGCCCAAGGTGGCCCCAGGTTGTCCAGGGAGGCCCAGACGTCGAGCAGGAGATCGACTACAGAATTGATTTATCCCAAGCTGGATTTCCCGTTGAATTTGCGAGAGGTGCGTAAGATGCTCCGTAGATCGAAGGATCATCCTACGAATTCGTTGTAGATTCGAAGGAGTAATCAATTTCGGGATAAATCAGTTCCGTAGTCGATCCTCGATTCGAAGACGGCCTCCAGAGCATTCTTCACGAGGCCTAGAGGGCACCGAGGATTCCAAAATTGGGCCAGGCCTCCCACTCGTCTAGAGTGCGTTCAGAAGCGGTCCCTGGAACCCTCCCAGTGTCCATGACAACCTGTTTTTCATCCCAGATCTTTTTTGATGTTCCTGGAGTCCGCTTTCGGGTGCAGAGGCTGACAATGACTCCAACCCCTCGAAGAAGAGAGACTGCATAAGCTCCGCGCGGACTTCTCGCATTGTCGCTTGGATCCCCCCGGGCGGCGCCTCTGGCGCCGCCCCTAGCGCGCTCCACGTGCCAGGGAGAGGGGCCCAGCGCCAATCCAAGACATCCACGCGGACACGGTGTCGTCGTCGTCGCTGTCGTCGCCGCCGTCGTCGCCCCGTCGTGTCGTCGCTGCCGCCGCCGTCCTTGTCGTATCGTCGCCGTCCTTCGTCGCTTCACCCCGTCGTGTCGTCGTCGCCGTCGTCGCTGCCGCCGCTGCCGTGGCGGCGGCGGACCATGGCTGCCTGCCGCCTGGCGAGGCGACCCCGCCGGGGCGGCCGCCTGGTTCGGCAGGCGGGGTGCCGCGGCCGCCGCCGTCCTCGTCGCCGCCGCCGCAGCCGCCGTCGTCGTCGCCGCCGCCGCCGCCGCCGTCGTCGCCGTCGTCGTCGTCGTCGTCGTCGTCGTCGTCGTCGTCGTCAACGTCGTCAACGTCATCGACGTCGTGAGGAGGAGGACGGGGAGGGGGAGAAGGAAGAGGAGGAGGGAGGAGGAGGAGGAGGAGGAGGAGGAGGAGGAGGAGGAGGAGGACGGGGAGGAGGAGGAGGAGAAGGAGGAGGAGGAGGCGGAGGTGGAGGAGGAGGAGAAAACAGGAGAAGGGGAAGGGCGGGTGAGGGAACCTGAACAAGGTTCTGTGTCCCGTTTAGCATTGCTCGAGAGACATCCCGAAAAGGCTCCCTGTCCGGCGGCGGGAAAGGAAACATGAACAGTTTCTCTGTCATCTCCATAGATCCCCCTGTTCTTTTCATTTTTTCGAGTTCGTCGCTTCTTCTCAGTCCCCAATCAGTGTTTGGATTGAAGGGGTCCTCGTGGATGAGGAAAGATTTCAAGCGCCCAGCCTATTTCGGTGGGCGGCCGAGTTCCCTGGTTCCCAGTTCTGGATTTCCAGGTTCACGGTTGCTGGTTCCGGGCCGTTTTTTTTGATAGGCGGCGGGGTTCCCGGGATTCCGGGTTCCCAGGTTCTTGGTCGATTTCTTTCTCGATTGGGTTCACCATCAATGTCAGTACCCACCTATCGATCTCACAGTCGATTTCACAATCGATCTTTCAATCGATCTCACTATAGAATGCACGAGCGATCTCACGATCGATCTCTCTATCGATCTCACCGAATCGATTTCACTATCGGTCTGACGATCGACCTTACCATCGACCTAGCTATCGATCTCATTACCGGTCTCCCTCTCGATCTCACAGTCGATCTCAATAGCCATATCACGATTTTATCCCAACCATCTTGTGGTGTTGGGTCCTCGTTTTGTAGAGACAGCGCCCCGCGTCACTCCTCTCCTCTCCTCTCCTCCTCCTCCTCCTCCTCCTCCTCCTCCTCCTCCTCCTCCTCCTCCTCCTCCTCCTCCTCCTCCTCCTCCTCCTCCTCCTCCTCCTCCTCCTCCTCCCCCCCCTCCTCTCTCCTCCCGTCACCCCCCTCACTTTGGCACTCCCCTCACACGTTTCGTGGCCCCATAGGGAGCTCCACCTAAGGCCCCCGTGGGGGTGGCCACATGCGTCTGCCAAACCCAGTACAGCGCTTCGTGGCCCTATAGGGAGCCCCGCCAAAGGCCCCAGTGGGGGTGGCCACATGCGTTCGCCACACCCAGTACAGCGTCTCGAGGCCCCATAGAGAACTCCACCTAAGGCCCCAGTGGGGGTGGCCACATGCGCCCGCCACACCCAGTGCAGCGTTTCGTGGCCCCATAGGGAGCTCCACCCAAGGCCCCAGTGGGGATGGCCACATGCGTCCGCCACACCCAGTACAGCGTCTCGAGGCCCCATAGGGAGCTCCACCCAGCGCCGCCAGTCCACATGCGTCCGCCACACCCAGTACAGCGTCTCGAGGCCCCATAGGGAGCTCCACCTGCGGCCCCAGTGGGGGTGGCCACATGCGTCCGCCACACCCAGTAGAGCTCTTCGGCGCCCCATAGGGAGCCCCACCCAAGGCCCCAGTGGGGGTGGCCACATGCGTCCGCCACACCCAGTAGAGCTCTTCGGCGCCCCATAGGGAGCCCCACCCAAGGCCCCAGTGGGGGTGGCCACATGCGTCCGCCACACCAAGTACAGCGTCTCGAGGCCCCATAGGGAGCTTCACCCAAGGCCCCAGTGGGGGTGGCCACATGCGTCCGCCACACCCAGTACAGCGCTTCGTGGCCCCATAGGGAGCTTCACCTAAGGCCCCAGTGGGGGTGGCCACATGTGCCCGCCACACCCAGTACAGAGCTTCGGGACCCCATAGGGAGCTCCACCACCCCGACTGGGACCTTAGGTGGAGCTCCCTATGGGGCCACGAAGCGCTCTACTGAGTGTGGCGGACGCATGTGGCCACCCCCACTGGGGCCTTAGGTGGAGCTCCCTATGGGGTCCCGAAGCCCTGTACTGGGTGTGGCGGACGCATGTGGCCACCCCCACTGGGGCCGCAGGTGGAGCTCCCTATGGGGCCTCGAGACGCTGTACTGGGTGTGGCGGACGCATGTGGCCACCCCCACTGGGCTTTTGGTGGAACTCCCCATGGGGCAACGAAGCGCGGTACTGGGTGTGGCGGATGCACGCCCACTGGGGCCTTAGGTGGGGCCCCCTATAAGGCCACGAAGCGTGTGTAGGGTGTGCCGGCATGGGTGTGGCGGACGCATGTGGCCACCCCGACTGGGACCTTAGGTGGAGCTCCCTATGGGGCCACGAAGCGCTCTACTGAGTGTGGCGGACGCATGTGGCCACCCCCACTGGGGCCTTAGGCCACATGCGTCCGCCACACCCATGTCGGCACACCCTACACACGCTTCGTGGCCTTATAGGGGGCCCCACCTAAGGCCCCAGTGGGCGTGCATCCGCCACACCCAGTACCGCGCTTCGTTGCCTCATGGGGAGTTCCACCAAAAGCCTAGTGGGGGTGGCCACATGCGTCCGCCACACCCAATACAGCGTCTCGAGGCCCCATAGGGAGCTCCACCTGCGGCCCCAGTGGGGGTGGCCACATGCGTCCGCCACACCCAGTATGCCCCTCACACGCTTCGTGGCCCGTTAGCCCCCCGCCACGCCCAGTATTCACAGTCATATACATGTACACTAGGCGTATCCATGTTCGCATTCATGCGCATAGACTTACTCGCACGCAAATTCAATCACAATCAGACGCGCTCGCGCTCAGTCTCACCCGCGCTCAGTCCCCCGTGCTCAGGCCTATCGTTTCCGTTCGTGTTGTGTACCCCGCCACACATGTCGGCACACCCCTCGCACGGTTCGTGGCCCCATAGGGATCGCCACCGAAGAAGATATTCACAATTGCGGTACGCACAAGTGCATGTGGTTGGGCCCTTCGCCAGGGTAAGCTAACCACACATGGATTGGGGTGTTTCTTTGGTGTATCTGATCTGTACAAGGTCTCGTATTCTCGCTGTGTCGGGTGTGTGGGGCCCACACTCGGGCCCCGGGGACCTTCAGAAACAGTTCTACGGCGAAAGGCTGCACCCCATGGGCACGAGAGGTGCACAACTCTCCTCCTCCTCCTCCTCCTCCTCCTCCTCCTCCTCCTCCTCCTCCTTTTCCTCCTCCTCCTCCTCCTCCTCATCATCATCATAGCTCCACCGAAGGTCACAGCGGCCGTCATCGCATGCGTCTCCACACAGCCCGCCTGTGGTACCCGCCCCATGCTGGCAAACCCCTCGCTCGGTTCGCCCGTCTCACGCAGCGCGTGGCCCCACATGATGTTCCCCTATCGATATTTCCGCCAGCCCTGTGGCACACGCAACTGCATATAGTTGGGTCCTTCGCCAGGATCATGCTGTTTGTCACGACGCTTAGGTTCAAAGGATGAATGAGTAGAAGGAGGAGGGCGAGGATGATGACGAGGAGGAGCAGGAGAAGCAGGAGGACAAGGAGGAGGAGGACAAGGAGGAGGAGAACAAGGAGGAGGAGGAGGAGGAGGAGGAGGAGGAGTGGAGGAGATGGAGGCACGTTAAAGCGAGACGATGTTTTCAACGTCTCGTCGCTGGCCTCGTCGCTTCAGCGCTCTGGGCCAAAGCGCCTACAGTGAAGTGTGCGTACGCCCCCGCCGTTGCGACGGTTTCTGCAAATGTGGTCATCGGGCTTCTGTCGCCCAAGGGCTCTAGGGCTACAAACCTCCACCGACCCTTACCAACCTCCATGTACTATCGCACCACGCTGAGGGTGCGGCTGCCTGGAAAAGGATAGAAAATCATCAGGTCGTGCAGCAAGTTGCTTTCTGACAGTCTGAGAGGCACGCGCGGGGTCTTGAATCCGCTCGTGCCAAAAACCTCTCGGCCTCCTGGAATACTCGGCTAGAGTTCGCACGCCCCCCTTTTCTATAGTAGGGAAGCATGATCAAGCCGCTCTTGACACGGGATGTGTATTCGGCTGAAGGAATGAGAGATCTAGGCTAACATCGGCACCGCTTGTCGCACGAATGGGCCCAGAAACCTTCGATAACTTCGATATGCTAGCTTTTGCGGCTTCCGCACTGCTATTCAAGGGCTTATACCGATGAGTCATTGCGAAGGGCCATGTCATGTGCACATGGAAGGGACTAGCAGACGAAATAGAGAGGGGGGTAAAGATGCAAGCAGGCTTCGTGTGGCAGAATGAAAACAGTGTTCCCGACCTTCTCCATTCAGCATGATTCCTCAGCTCTACATCTAGCATCTTGGTTGCCTCGGTCGATCTACTCTCAAGCTCGATTTTGAAATACCTATTCCTCTCCATCATGTGCCTCAAAAAAAGTCCGTGTAAGCCACTTCTGACGTCGCCCCGAAAGATGATGAGCCCATCATGCTTGAATCTGCCGTACAACTTTACACCACGGTATATTCTGATTTCGGGTCGAAGGACAAATGGGGCCTCGACCATGCCGTGGAAAGCGGCGTCGGCCACTTCGCCCGAACATGGGATACCCATGCTTGTGCCTAGCTCTACCTTCCAAAGTCGATCCGTGCCTTCAGCACTGATGAGTTGAGTGCGAAGGATCGCCAGAAACAACATCGTGTAAATTATCTTATCACCGGGGTCGTCGAGCAGCTCGGTGTGACCCGCTTCTGAAACAATCATTTATGTCGAGCACATCGCCCGCATCCCCCTCAACATGACCAAGCTGTTTGAGTATATCGTGAATGTCACGTAAGATGTGTGTTTGTTGCTTCAACTTTGGCTTCAACATCGAAGACGCGTGAACCATGATGCCAGTCATTGGATTCCCTGTGCTTGGCACACCCCTCACGCGGTTCGCCCGTCTCACGCGGTTCGCCAGTCTCACGCGGTTCCTGGCCCCATAGGGAGTTTCCCCATCGATCGTCCCGCCTGCCCTGTGGCACTCACAACTGCATATAGTTGGGCCCTTCGCCAGGATCATGTTGTTTGTCACGACGCCCAGATACAAAGGATGAAGGTGTAGTGAGGAGGAGGACGAGGAGGACGAGGACGAGGAGGAGCAGGAGGAGCAGGAGTACAAGGAGGAGGAGGAGGAGGAGACGGAGGAGGACAAGGACGGGGAGGACGAGGAGGAGGAGGAGGACGACGACGACAACGGGGAGAAGGAGGAGGAGGAGGAGGAGGAGGAGGCGGAGGCGGAGGCGGACGAAATTCTTGAAAAGCGGTGCGTGCCTTGGGCCGCCCGCACGGCGCGCGAGGGTGGCTAGGCAAGAGCGGCTTTCGGCGAGGCGTGCCGAGGTACCTCGAGACCCCTGGAGGCCACCAGGGGGCCCCCGGAGGAACCCGAAGCTGGCCCCGATTGGGGACCCGGGGGCAGAAAAGACACGGCCAGGCTGAACTCGCCCAGCGGAGCTCGGCCAGGCCAGGTTCAGCCTGCCCGAGTGTCGCCTGGCCGAGTCTTTCCCTTGCCTCGGGGACTCTGCCGCGGCTGCCGCCGACACCGGCAGGCTGTGCGAGGCCGGGCTGAGGCCGACGGCGGCTTCCTTCAGGGTGCTCCTCAAGAGCTGCGGCAGGGGCGGCGACGCGGCGGCTGCCTGGCGCTGGCTCGGGGCCATGGCCGAGGCCTGTCCTCTTTTTCTCCTGCTGTTCCTCTCCTTACTGCTCCTCTTTCTACTGCTCCTCCTCCTCCTCCTCCTCCTCCTCCTCCTCCTCCTCCTCCTCCTCCTCCTCCTCCTCCCCCTCCTTCTCTTCCTCATCCTCCTCCTCCTCCTCCTCCTCCTCCTCCTCCTCCTCCTCCTCCTCCCCGCATCCGTACTCCTTACTGTAGGCCTCCTAGACGGGGTCGGAGTAGATGGAGTCGGAGGATCGCGCCGCTTCGCCGATGTATCGGCGATGTGGCTCGATGTGGAGCCCGATTTTCTCCGCGCCGACGGCGTTGATGCATCGCCGACGTCGCTGATGCATTGGCGATGCACCGATCCATTGGCGATGCGGCGCGACCCTCCAACCCCATCTACTCGGACCCCATCTAGGAGGCCTTTTTTCATCTTCCTCCCTCACCCGTATACCCTCATTGCTTGCTGCTATACCTCACAGACCACCCTTCGGGTGACAAGAGGGCATCCCCACTACTCCTGTGTCTTGGGCCCTTGTTTTGAATAGGTAGCGCCGCGCCCCAACTTCCACTCACCTCCCTCCAACCCTCCCCTTCTCCGCTTCTCTTCTCTCCCTCCCCCTCCCCCTCCCCCTCCTCCTCCTCCTCCTCCTCCTCCTCCTCCTCCTCCTCCTCCTCCTCCTCTTCATCCCCCCCTTCCTCTTCACCCCCCAGGCGGCCGTGGAGGTGGATGCGGCCGCCTGGCACCGCCCCTTAGCGGACGCAAGGCCGATCGCTGATCTGCAGGGTGCTGGCTGCTATGGGCATGCGGTGGCGCAAGTGGCCTGTGCGTCGTGTCGTGCCGTGTCTCGCCGGCGCCGCCCGTCTCCCGCCCCGCCGCCCAGGCCCAGCAGTTGCCCCAGGAGCCGTCTCCTGCGGGTGGAGTGCAGACGTCCTCCCTGCCTCCCTCCCTCCAGGAAGGCTCGTGGCGCCACCATCGCAGAGCGGATCCCGTTCGGAAAGCAGCGGGGCCCGGATTGTCCTGGGGAATGTCGCTCTGGAGCTCGAAGCGAACTTCGTGTGGGTTTTTGTTGGACCAGGACCATAGATGGGCAAAACATCCGCGTGAAATTCACGTCGTTTTTCGCTCACCGTTTCGGGGTTATGCGCTGACAGAAATCCTCGCAAAAATCCGGCGACGAAACAGGAGGGACAAAGATGAAACGCTGACGAAGACGACGAGGGAGGAAGGACGACCACGGCGACAACGACGACGGAATCGACGACGACGCCAAGGCGACGACGACGACGACGAGAAAAGACAGAGGACGACGACGGCGACGACGACGACGACGAGGGAGGAGGGAGGACGGCGACGACGACGTCGGCGACGACGCAATAGCGCGCGCACGCTTTTGTTGAACATACGTGTTGCGAAACTATGTGTTTTTGTGTCTTTTTTGGACACCCGATTTTGAAATCCTTCCGAAACCAAAGGTTTTTGAAGGATTTCGGCATGCGCGCGCGACGACGCGCGCGTGTGCACTTCGTCCCGTTTTTTGCAGAGGATTCTCGCGACGGCACGCGTGCAAGGGCGTTCGAAAGATTTCGGCATGCGCGCGTGCGAAACCCGTTCGGTAGTATTTTAGAACATCTTGAGCATTTCATGGTTTACTTAAGATTTCGCAAGAGCGCGCGCGTAAATTTCTCTTTAGAAAATCAGTGTTGCGAAATCATGTTTTTTGTATGTTTTTTTGGAAGCTCGATTTGGCAATCCTTCAGGGGCCGAAGGTTTTTGAAGGATTTCGGAATGCGCGCGCGACGACGCGCGCGTGCGCACTTTGCTTCATCTTTGTGCAACAGGTTCTCGCGACGGCTCGCGCGCAAGGGCGTTCGAATGATTTCGACATGCGCGCGCGACGCATATTTGGTAGTATGTTTAGAAAATCTTGAGAATCCAATGGGTTTCTCGAGATTAAGCAAGAGCGCGCGCGTAAGCTATTTTTAGAAAATCAGTGTTGCGAAACCCTGTGTGTGTATGTTTCTTTGGAAGCTCGATTTTGAAATTCTTTCGAAACCAAAGGTGTTTGACGGATTTCGGCATGTGCGCGCGACGACGCGCGCGTGTGCACTTCGTCTCTCTCTTTTTCCCGGGAAGGGCATAGGCCAAGGGTTCTCTTTTAGTAGGATTACCCTCGGTTTTGGCGGCTGTAGGGCCGGCGAATGTCTTTTGCGATAAATAACGAGGTCGCGTAGGGCCGGCGAATCAAGGTTTGAGGATGTCTCGAGCGAAACGCTTGTGTTTTTCATAATGTGTTGAGGATGTCTCGAGCGAAACGCTTGTTTTGTGTTATAGATTGTCTTCTCCTGGGGACCTGAATTCTGAGGATCTCTCAAGTGGATTGCTTGGTTTCACGTTCCCAAGGTCTTGCGGATGTCTCGAGCGAGACGCTTGGTTTCACGCCTCCAGGTGGCCCAGACAGATGTCTAGCATGAGGATTTGTTGAGGATGTCTCGAACCAGAGGCTTGTTTTCACGTGTCCAGGTCGCCCAGGCGGATGTCTAGCATGAGCATTTGTTGAGGATGTCTCGAGCGAGACGCTTGTTTGCACGTGTCCAGGTTGCCCAGGCGGATGTCTAGCATGAGGATGTGCTGACAACGTCTTGAGCGAAACGCGTGTTTTCACGTGTCCAGGTCGCCCAGGCACAGCACAGCCCTCGGCACGGTACATCAATATCGATACCCTTAGCATTGCAGCCTGGCATGTTGCCTGGCACGTTCCGCGGAGCGTCCCGTGGCGAGTCCCCCTGGCACGTCGCGCGGCGCACGTCCATTGGCACGTTCCGTAGCGCGTCCCCTTGGCACGTCCCGCGGTGCGTGCCCATGGCACCTCCCCTGGCACGTCGCCTGGCGCGTCCCTTGGGACGTTCCGCGGCGCGTCCTCTTGGCATGTTCCCTCTGTCGATTAGTTCTGGGGCAGCTACCATCTGCTCAGGCAGCTCGAGATTACGCTCCAGATCAGTTCGGTGAGGACTCGGATGCCAGGGAGGACTCGATCCACAACGCTATATAGTATAGAGCACAATCGCGGCATAGCACATCGCAGTTCAGCACGGCCCAGCACAGCACAGCCGCCGGCACGGTACATCAATATCGATACGCTCAACTATGCACCTTGGCACGTTCCTTGGCGCGTTCCGTGGCGAGTCCACCTGGCACGTCGCGCGGCGCGTCCCCTGGCACGTCCCTCGGCACGTCCATTGGCACGTTCCGTAGCGCGTCCCCTTGGCACGTCCCGCGGTGCGTCCCCATGGCACGTCCCCTGGCACGTCGCCTGGCGCGTCCCTTGGGACGTTCCGCGGCGCGTCCTCCTTGGCATGTTCCCTCTGTCGATTAGTTCTGGGGCAGCTACCATCTGCTCAGGCAGCTCGAGCTTACGCTCCAGATCAGTTCGGTGAGGACTCGGATGCCAGGGAGGACTCGATCCACAACGCTATATAGAGCACAATCGCGGCATGGCACATCGCAGTTCAGCACGGCCCAGCACAGCACAGCCGTCGGCACGGTACATCAAGATCGATACACTCAACTATGCACCTTGGCACGTTCCTTGGCGCGTTCCGTGGCGAGTCCACCTGGCACGTCGCGCGGCGCGTCCCCTGGCACGTCCCTCGGCACGTCCATTGGCACGTTCCGTAGCGCGTCCCCTTGGCACGTCCCGCGGTGCGTGCCCATGGCACGTCCCCTGGCACGTCGCCTGGCGCGTCCCTTGGGACGTTCCGCGGCGCGTCCTCCTGGCATGTTCCCTCTGTCGATTAGTTCTGGGGCAGCTACCATCTGCTCAGGCAGCTCGAGATTTCGCTCCAGATCAGTTCGGTGAGGACTCGGATGCCAGGGAGGACTCGCTCCACAACGCTATATAGAGCACAGTCGCGGCATGGCACATCGCAGTTCAGCACGGCGTAGCACAGCACAGCCCTCGGCACAGTACATCATCATCGATACATTCAGCATTGCATGTGCCCGTCGCCCAATCATGTGTCTTTGAACTGTTGCAATGCTTTACATTTCTATATTCCTTTCCGGGTTCGTGGGTCGATCATGTTTGGCCAGGGAGTCTTGAAACCATGTGATTTTTATACGAGTGCGCGCATAACATTTTGTGCAAAGGATGGCGGGGGGAATCGATACCCGTTTGGCTGGGATAATTTGAACGCGCAGGTAGGATGGGCAATAGGTCAATATCCAATGCGTTTTACATAGATTCTCGGGGGGTCTTGAAGACCGGCCGGGAGGGGGGGCGGGGGGGGGGAACTTTGTTTCATTGTATAGAAAGGAGAATATGTGATGCAACATATGTGGCGCAGTCTATGGTTCGCAGTGCATGTCGCGCAGCCTGCGCGGTGCAGTTCGCCCTGCCGAACTTGAAGTAACCAGCTAAACTGGTCGCGCAAGCGCCCCGCCCACCCGCCCGCTGGCTGGCGCATCGCTGCGGCTTCGCTAGCCCGCGCAGGCTCGCGCGCGCGGCGGCCAGCTTGTCTAGCGCGACGGACGCGGCCGCGGTGGCGCTGACCGCTGGGGGCCCCCCAGCGCGTCTCGCAGGCCGCGCTGACGCGCGGGCACTTCAGCGTTAGTCGGTGACCAGGGCGGGCGCGGTCTCATGTCGACGTCGGCAATGGTGGGCGATGATGGCAGCGATGCTGGCGACGATGGTCACACTGATGACGGCAAGGCCGATGACGGCGCCGATGCTAATCACGCCGATGACGATGATGGCGTCCTCGCGTCGGCGATAAGTTCCAGACGGACTCCGACATGCGCGCGCTGCCGACGCGCGCGAGTGGCCCGCGTGGCATTATATCATCGGGGTCTAACCCCCCCCCCAGCGCGCGCAAGGGCGTTCGAATGATTTCAACTTGCGCGCGCGAGAAGCCTGTTTTGCCACATTTGATGATCGTGCTCAAGAACCTGTTGTTTTGCGTCAGAATTCGCAAGAGCGCGCGCGCTAACATATCTGTTTGCAACATCACAGTACGAAGCAGGTTTCAAACGAATCGGACAGTCGATGGTGCACCCCCTACGCAACCCAAGGTTTTGATTGATTTTGGTTTGCGCCGCGCTCGACGACGACGCGCGCGTGCACTTCGCATTACTTTCGCCATGGACCAATGGAAACGTGTGCCTTTTATATGAGCGAGGGTGCGCCAGTCGTGCTTTTGCAGAGGATGGTGGGTGGGTCGATTTTGGTTCGGCCGGGGCCACTTGAACTCGCATTCAGAATGAACGATGGGGGCAGAATCGCGCGTGACCTGCGCGCCCGCAGGGGGGCATCGGCAGCGCCGGCTTTCGGGGGGGGGGGGGGGGCGGTAGATCCGATGTCTTGTCTAGAAAGCAGAACCGATGTGGTGCGCGGCCTACGTGGCGCAACTGCGGTGACGTGTATGCGGCGCAGTTCACGGCGCAATTTATTTCTGGTCGCAGTGAGTTGTCGACTCCACTGCTTGCGCAACCATCCCGCGCAACCGCCCGCAACTTGGGTTGCAAAGTCCATGGGGCGGCGATTGCGATGATTGCTTGGCGTCGGCTGGCGCATCTGCGCCGCCGCGCTAGCCCGCGCGTGCTCAAGCTCGAAGCGGCTAGTTTGGCGCTGCTGACGCAGCCGCGGTGGCGCTGGCCGCTGGGGCCTCTCCAGCGGGCACTTCAGTGCGCGTCGGCGACTTGGGCGGGCGCGGCGTCGCGGCGACGTCGACGACGGTAGACGCG